CGCAAGGCTGGCCACCCCCCCCCCCCTCCGTCTATTGTTTAAATGCATAATTTAATGAAAAATGGTGTTGAAACAAATCGATATTGTTTTAAGTACTATTAATCACTGGTAGATCAGAAATAATAACGGTTGTATTGAAAAAATAACCAGTTTTTAAAGTTATAAAGTTCAGAAAAAATTACATTTTCAAAAAAAAAACAAAAAAAAAACGTCATACCTACCTACGTCTACAAAAATCGAAATTTGGACCAGTCAGTCTTTAAATTAACGAATTTTGGAGGGAAGAAAAACTTAGCGTTTGGCTTGCGTTGGGCAGCGCTTGGACGGCCGATCGCTTTGGGGGGGGGGGGGCTGCCTCAGGGGTAGCTCAGAGTTTCTTAATTTTTGATGCGAGGATCGCATAAAAAAGTATCTCATGCCGTTTCTGGTGACAGTGTCAAGAAATCGCAGTTCTAGCGTGCGGAGTCAAAAATTTTCATTGGTTTCCATTCAGCTAAATGTCAACGTTGCCCTTTAACACTATGATGCCGATAGTGTGATTGCAGGGATGCTGAATCTTCTAAGCTTTCACGTTTTCGAGATCCCACAGACTTTCAACTCTGAGTGTTAGTGACCACTACCATCCTCTTCATCTTCGTGCATCGTGCAACACACGCATTTTACGCGTACCTTCGAATTTCTGTTTACTGACAACATGGATTAATTGGTAAGGTAAACGTATTTTGGTACGCATTGTAGATTTTTCGATCAGTTTCTAGCCGAACATGATAAGACAACACATTTTGTCAATAATTTGCACGAAGAAAGCTTTCGATATTTTATAAGCAAATATATTTGTTATTAGTGCGGCAAACCAAAGAAAAAAATGTAAGGCACCAGGGCAGTAATTTCTAAAATTGGAAAAGATAAAATCATACGCGGCTTAAAATATTTCTCGGGGCGTCAAGTCCCACGATTGGGATTTGGGTCCCCGTCATTCATTCTCTATGTGTACCTAACTCCCGTAGAAGCGATAGCCGGTTCGATTTTTAGACATACGCACACTTTATAGACCTCTTGAGAGACATTTAAACATATTTCCTCCTTTTCAAAATCCTGAAAATATCATAGCAAATCTGGGGCAAACTTAACCTTAATTTATTTCGAAATTCAAAAGTAAGAGACATCTGAAGTGTAACCGCGATACAACTATTCTCGCAACATTGCATATGAAAAATGTAAGACGCGATGGCGTGAGTCGTGAACTCGCAATGCTCTGCTCTGGTTTTAAGCAACATTACAAATAAGACAAACGGAAACAAACACAACATGGAAATAGAGGGTGGGAAAGGATGCGCGTTAACGACGGCGCAGAGATACAACTATTCGTACTTGATCGACGTCCGTGCTGCATCTGAAAAATTGAAGGCGCGATGACGCGAAGCGTGAGTTTTCAATGCTCTGCTATATGCTGCCGATGAGGTGTCGCTCAGATTCGGGAGAAAACTTAAAAAAGAGGCCCGAACACATCTCTCCTACCTTCGGCTGTGTTATTCACGTAGTGCTTGAAGCACCATTACGAATAAGACAAACGCAAACAAACACAATATGGAAATAAAGCGAGGGAGAGGATGCGCGTTAACGACGGCGCAGAGATACAACTATTCGTACTTGATGGACGTTCGTGCTGCATCTGAAAAATTGAAGGCGCGATGACGCGAAGCGTGAGTTCTCAATGCCCTCCTACATGCTGCCAGTGAGATGTCGCTCAGATTCGGGAGAAAAGTTGAAAATAGTGTATTTTCTTCGGAAAATACCCTAAAAAAAGAGGCCCGAATACGTCTTTCTTGTTGTCGGCTGTGTTGACAATCAAACCGTCCTGCTTGCACTTCTTGTCCAAATTCCCCCTTAACGGTAGATCACGTTCTTATAAGTTGCCCACTTTATAAAGATATCCGAAAACGTTTTTTTCCCTACCCCTTACCCTCTCTTAAAAATTTACTTCTGAATACTCATCCTGTGAAACTTTTTGAATTTATGCGCTCCACTAATCTCAAAATTCAACCTTTCCCCTCAACCCTTTTGTATTTTTACTGATATTTCCATGTAAATTTATTATTGTTACTGCCCTCTTTAGAGGTGTAAATGGCCTTAGATGCTAAAGCACCGCTTTAAAATAAAATTATTTTACTACTACTACTACTCGTTCTTTCTTCTTTTTTCCGGTTCTTGCCTGATTCTTTTTTAGGATGGATTTTTAGACCCACGTCTTAAGCTCATGTAAACCACAGCACTGACACGGTTCTTATGGAAATAATGGTGCTTGGATGCGTCTAGTGGCTTTAATTTTTTTTTTTTTCTTTAATTTCAGAAGTCTGTTGGTCACTTCAATACGTTCAATTTTACAATTTTTACTCTGTACGATTAATAAACTTTGTACCTTAAAATAGCGTAAACTTGTGCTGCTTTGCAAAAAATTTCTGAACCCCTCTCCACGATCAGGAAATATCACATTACGCCCCTTTAACCAGCCAAGGGTCTACGCCCTCAGATGCGAGCCAGTCCGACCCTGCTTAAGTTTGTCCTCAATCAAGCCGCCACACAGACACTAAAGGCGGTTGGTTATTGAAATGCCGAATATCAAAACCATCATTATTTTTTAAATCATTCCAAAGAAAAGCTAATTTTACGTGCCTTCTTTAAGTCTAAGCATTATTCAATCTGAAGTCTCCAGTCCGTGTTTCTAAATATTGGAGGTATTTTGTGACTTCCTCTCCGGTGTTCTACCTTAAAAAGTTTCTCTAATAGACTGCACTGCAATGTGGGCGGTCTCAAAAGTGGTTTCCTTTGATTGACATGTAGGACCACCCAAGTCTTAAACTCAATTTGTTCAAAGGTTTCCTATAGAGAGGTGATCTGTCGTGCTAAGGAAGAAGGCCGTATGAACACTTCGAACACGTTCGACACTTGCCAAATTTCCTCTACTGAAATGATTATTTTTGAGAATAGGTAGTTATAAATATTTTTCCTTGAAACTTTCAGACACTTCAGATCAAATTATGACCAAAATATTCTGAGAAATTGGAGGAATAATATTCACAAATTTTTCTGAAAATTAGTGATTTGCTGAGAGAAATATGGCAAAGCCTAAAGGCTCATACGGCGTTTTTCCTTAGCACGGCAGTGATCGATCGGGACCTCTGGATCACCCTATGTTTGACTATGATTGTAAATGGGCCCTTATTTTTACAAAATGAACGCATCCATCCTCTGATGAGTCCGGGATATTAAATATTATTATGGGGTCCAGAGGCGATTTTTGTAAGGTAGCAATACCAGTTGCTAATACACCATTTTGTAAGTGTTTCATGTTTAAAATTATTTTAAATACTTAATAGATTCAGTGTTAGACAGCCGCAGCCTGCTCCGATGTATATTAATCATTTTACTTACATTTAATTAGTGTTAGCTAAACTGTTTCTAAAAGAGACTTCCTTTGACTCTGAAGTAATAACTGAATATTAGTCTGAATTTAATTAGTGCCTTAATCAGCATTTTGTGCTGCATTTAAGCTACCAGGGGCCTCATTAAAGTAGGTATATTTGAGTGGTTTCTCGTTAAAGTTTACGGCAAATTTGTAAAACTTACAAGAAGAAAAGCATTTACCTACTCGGGGTGCGCCCAAAGTTTCATTTGGAAACTGACGATAATAATGAATATTTTCAATAATCTTGGGAATATTTTCGGCAATTGTTGTGCAAACTGATTGAGAATATTGGAGGCAGTATCAGGTTATCGAATGAAAAACAAAAATACACAGTTAAAATTCAGCATTAATAAGTCAACATTGATAAGAGAATGATTTTAAATTATTTTGCCAAAAAGAAATGGTCTGTAGCTGAGATACTGCCTATTGAACAACAATGCAGAAGTAACAATGTAGCAACCTTACTATGACTATATAAGGCAATACTGCAGCCACCTTAAAAATGGTGTGACAACGTTGCTACAATGTTCATAGGATGCGGTGGATCACACTCAAGAAAAGCCTTCTTTTTTCTCGACTTGACATAATTTTGTGAAAATAAAATACAAGAAAAATACGAAAATTGTTAAGGCAAAGAAAAAAGAGACCGGGCAAATGTTACAATCAAAGCAAGGAAGAGGGGGAAAAAAGAAAAACGAAAAAAACTGATACAGCACATTTCAGGTATATTTGAAATGGAGTTGCAAAAAAGCAGTCCTAATATTAGAAAACTAACAGCATTGCACATTATATACGTTTACAAAAAAGTAAAAACATAAAAAAGGAAGATACATAAGAAAAGAAAACAATTGAAAAAAAAATTGGCTACTTAAAATGAAAAAGTTAACATAGTATTTCAATAACTAAGAATGGGTACTAACTAAAAAACCTGCTCAGTATATGAAGTTGAATTATTCAGGGATAAAATTAGTTAACAACATCACTCGAACAGACGGTTACGAAACAACATTGAAAACAAAAAGAACTTATCAACCCAGTATTAATCAGGATGTTATTTCATTTCTCTGTCAGATGACAATCATAAGGAATAAAGGCATTGATGATTGAGTTCAACAAGTGCAACCTTTCTTTCTCCCTCCATTCCAGCACGGAGAGCTTTTGGAACAGAGTAAAATTTAACCATACCTAAAGCATCAGATTAATTTTGTTTATGTTTAATAAAATATGTTCAATAATTATCTTCTAATTTCTTTGCTATGTTGTATTAAATCTCACAAAACCATGAAATTTTTCAACTCTATTTATTTAAAAGAACAGTCAAAAAGGTGGAAATTTCAATAAAATGTATAAATGGCACATGAACTATCAATTTGCCTCACTTAAATCAGCAAAATCTTTCAAAATTACTTCTTTCTTTGCATGGTAATTACACTTTGGCTTAGTAGTTATCTTGAAAGGGTCAATAAATGAGAAGTAGTGCTCATTTCTGAAGTTCTACAGTTTGAGGTATTGTTTACATGTCGTTTAATTTTAAAAAAGAACATTCTAGGTGCAAAGTGCTGAAAGAAACCTGAACATAAAACAAATATATGGGAAGCTTCCATGCTTACATGAATGGAGGGAAAGGAAATCTGAGTGTGCAATACATTAAGAGAGGGAAACACTGACAATGGTAACTAGGAACTGAAATAATAATTGAGATGCGTTTGTAGTAACATCATGTGTATCTACTGAAAACTAAAGCAGGGAAAGGATAAATGTTAGTGGAAAACTGGCTCAAAAATAGCAAAACCACACACGTATTAAACTTGGACCATTGTGCAGAGAACAGTGAGAAAATTTTTTTGACATCAACTTTAAAACAATATTTCAAATTCCAATAGAAGATACTTGCAGTTACTGACGATGATAGATACTGATGATAGCAGAAGCTTGTAAAAAAAAAACCAAACCGAAACTTTCACGCTGATTTGAAGTTTTCTTTTAGTTGACAGACCATCTCCTACATCAGACTAGCTAATCAAGCAGAGTATTACACTAGACATAAAAATCGATCATGCTGATAATCGATAATATAATTGGAAAAAATTAGCTTTCATTCAAGACAATTCATCGATTTTGTGGAATACAGAATATGTGACTGCAGGAATTTAATAATTTAGGTTGTGGAAGTCTCCGTACGTAGAAAATCGGTAGCAGATTAACTGCTTATAAGTGAATACATCGAACAGCCACAAGAGAGAAATGGAACTATCTATTATGGCTGAGATAATGATTATATCTTGAATTTCTAAAAAGACACAGGAGGAAAAATTATAAAGAAACTTAAATGATAGACTTATACTAGTTTAAAACGTAACTCCTACCAAAAACAACCAATTAAATGTTTTCTTTTCTTAGATAAGTTAGTTCAAGTTTATTTAAAAAGTTGGACAGACAGAATAAGAGCTAACACCATTAAAGTGACCCATAAAAACCAGTTTTCAATCTTTCTTTCTGATAATGATAAGTAAAATATGTACTATGAAAATCAAATGGCAAGAGGAATATGTAGTACGAAGTTGTTTCAAAGAAAGCTGCACACAAATAATCAAAGTTCCAGCCATGAAAATTAGAAATAATACTTGGAGTTGAAAATCTATTAATTTTTCTTGGACAAAATTAAAAAATGTTTAAAAGCGGAAAATGTGTAAGAATTGGTAAAAAACAAAGACTCCAGAGGATTTGAAACAACGTCTGAATTTATCTGTCCCTTTTTCTTATTCGATTTCATGGTTTATGCAGCCTCAAGCATGAAAAATCGAGTGTTTTTTTTGAAATTTTGAAGCAATTTTCACGACTTCTTTTGCGATTTTTTCCTGAAAGTTCTCCATCTCATGAGCCTTAGTCAGAAATGTTTGGTCCATTTTGAAGGTAGATTGAGAATTCTTTTGTGAGAGGAGTACCTCTCTGAATGATCGATTTTACATGAAATGCTTTGTTTTCCTTTGTAGTTACGAGCGTTCACCATTCACAATTTAGTAAAAGAGAAAAATTCAAGCACTTTTCGGGCACATCCCTAAAAATCAAGGCCTTGATACAATTTTAAAATCAAGTAAGTCCTTCATAAGTGTTTTTTGAGGCTCCACAAACCATGTATTTATAGTGTGGTGCAAAGCAGGATTAAGTAAAATGGAAGACACTTGGCAAGTTGAAACAATAAGAAAACTTAAGTGAAATGTGAGTGATTAATATAAATGGAAGACTCAAATTTTAGGACTCTAGCGAATTGAACAAACTCTCACCTCTTAGTTTCATTTTAAAGCTTCTTACTACACAACCAACACTATTAAATCATTTTGTTTGATTAGAGGGCTCATTTTTAAAGTTACAAACATATTCTTACACACAATTTACGATTATCTATAGATTGCTTCAGATATTCAGTTAGGGTATAAATAAAGAAAAGGACAGAATACTCATTTTTTGCAAAAGTTTGAGAAACAGGACTTATTTTTTCCTGAGATGATTTCGACACAGTTATTACATTAATTATGGATTTGATTTTCATGGCTGGAAAAAAAAACAGAATACATGATTCGTATCCTTAAAATTATATTTTTCAGTAAAGGTAATTTGGTCCACAAAACCCTTCCTCTGAGATGATCTGCTTGCCAGTTTATACCTGATATTCAATTTGATGCCCAGAAATGGAGGTAATTAAACTATACTTATGAAAAATTATACTGCCGAAGGGTATGATAAAAATATACACAAAAAAACAACTACAGCTAGGATCCAGCACAGAGACTACATTAAGAAGAGGATGTTTTTATGATCTGCAAGAAGCTGAGGGCCAGTTGGCATGGAATGAAAGGATACTTTGGAGACTTAAAAAGAAGTAAGTACTGTAAAGTATTAATTATCAATTTGTTCCATTATCCAGCAGGGCATTCAAGAACAGCCAACTTTGTAATATTTTTCAAAAGGAGGACGTCGGTTAAAAGTGAATTTCGGAATTTAACCCCTTGGTTCTTTGTAGTGATGTTTACAAATGTACAAATGAATTTCAACCATCAAAGTAAAATTCTGGGACATTTATACTTAACAGACCCTGTTAGAAAATTGGTCACAGATGCATGATATGCATGGTAGCTCACCTAAAGTCTCTTGAAATATTCAGACATGAGAAACAGTGTAAAAAGCAGGGACAAAGAGGAAAAATTATTAGTTTGTAACGGCAATAAAGTGAGTTTTTCACAATTTTGAACATTTCTTCTATGAGCTCAATGATCTGGCATTTTTGTCTTCTAACACGAAATATTCCTGCAATGCTATGGACAGTTAGTGCTTTGCTATAAAATTAGTCTAGAATAATTGTAAAGAAACTGAGAGCTTAACAGGCAACAATGATTGCTGGGCTATCTATATTTTGGAGAATTGAAGGATCTCAATTTGTTCAATAGTCACAGGGATGGTGCGGGACTTTTGAATCCTCCTGTAGATTGGTTAAAATTATTTTGTAAATTGGAAAAGAATAGTACATCAAATGGAAAAAATAAATAGGGATGCACCCTGTAAAATGACTAATGAAAGGGGAGGGGGACAAAAACAAATAAATAATACCCTTGCAGAGATTGGGGGGAGGGGGGGGAGGAGGAGGAAAGACATTTCCTTTCCTAGCTAATAAATTTACAACTAACCAAGGAAGAATTTTAAGTTAACTACATATTCATGTACAATTTCATCATTGCTTTAAATGATGTGAACAGTGACAAAAGTGGAACTAACAAAAAACTAATAAGAGATCAACTAATCTTGCTGTCAGCCATGTTGGATTCCTTTGCCTATCTTTGATAAAGAATGGATGCTTACTTCATCTAAAAAATGCTTTTGAAAAAAATATTTTCTACAAACCTGACAGAGAAAGAAATGAAGTGTTAGATAGAAAAAGGTTAATGTTGTAAGTAACTGTACAAATTCACCATATTGTTTCCTGCACAAATAAAATTAAAGAAACTATTAAGACTTAAACTTAATGTGATAAAAAATGAACTAATAATAAGACATGAGAGTAAAATGAAACTTTACAAAAATAAATTCAAAGGAAGGAGAAAGACCAATGCAAAAGGCCATGATTACAAAGTACAATTACAGGTAAAAGAGAAAAGCTGCAGACATGGAGAAACGCAAGAAAATTAAGAATTGACAAACGTAAGGTTGTTTGTACGGAAAAATTAGCAGGATAAAGCCTTAACAAGAAAAAAACTTACATGATGAAAGGGCAATGACACTTTTCACACAGACAGAAAACAGAAAAATGAGATTTTGATACAAACACAGCATTTAAAGGAAGGAAAAATAATGGAGTGTGGACGCTGCGCAAGTAAAATAGTAAAATTTGAATTTTTAGCATCTACGATTAATTTTTTTCCTTGAAGAAATTTCAGTCAGAAAATCCTGAGGCATCTCCTCGGCAGATTGGACAGGTGCGATTTGTCTGAAAAGGAAAATAAAGCTGAGGTAATCATACAATTCAATATGTACTAAACAAAGATTGATTTTCTTCATGAATTCTTTACAGTCAGTTTCAAAGAGATCTAACAATTTGGAAGCTATGAAAAATTGATATGGTTCTGGTTAGAACTTCGGGTAGGTATTTTTCACATACAGCACTTAGAGGACTTCAGAGAGGATGAGTTTGCGTTGATCTTATGTTTTTACAAAACTGAAACTCACTCATACTTTTAGCTACTTGCATAGTTATAAAGAGAAAATAGCATAGTTTGTAAGCTTTAACTTCTTTACTCCTGATTCACGAGACCTTCTTTTCTAAATGAGCCATGAGTACGATGTTAGAATAAATTGAGTATATTTTCTAATAAAGGTGATACAGTGATAATTTCAACCAAGGTTAATTTGTTCCAACCAAATGAAGAAAACAACCGAGGAAAACCAAAATTGGATCATTCACTTTTGTATGAATCGACTTTGAAAACTCAAGCTGCCAGCAAACTTTAAAGCAGCCCCATACGATATCAAATTGCGATATATTGCACGGTTAAGATAGATCTTTGTCTTGTCGTGTCGGGCCAGCATAGTTTCAATGACCGAGCCGCAAGGTGTATGATAGGGTGGATCGAAAATTTCGACTTTGAGAGGGGAAACGCATATCATAAAAAAAAGTTGTCAAATGGGCCCCATATGAAGTACCAAGAATTTCGCCGCATAAAATTGACCCCCTAGTACTGCATATAGGCCTGAAAGGCCTACTTTTTTAATATATTATAATAAAGGTTCTAACAGATGTTTTCATACAGATTTTGTCAAGTTGTTGTCCAAAGACGGAAATTTCGTCCGTTTTGACGTATCGATCACAAGTAAAGCACAATTGACCTGTTTTCACCTGATAAATAGTTACAAGCGCCCTCCAGAATGGCTCATCGACAGTAATGTCATAAAAGTGAGTGTGGATAGATAATCCTAATAGATTTGGACGAAAGAAAGTGATTCAACTGACCTTTAGCCACTTATCTATACAGTTAATATGGAATTCATGAGAGCAAGGTAGACCACGGATCATCTGATGATGCTCAAAATCACACATGCAAACAACGCAAGAAGTCTGGTCACTTTGATGCGACTTCGAGTCAAAACTAGAGGGCAAAGCAAAAATGAGAATGATTAATGACACTGGCATAATATTACAATAAAATCTTGATAAGTCAGATTTTTTCTCCAGTCCTGGCAAGTTCCTCATAAAACCATTTAATCGATTTTTGGATAAGTCCTTGTATTCTTCTAACTCTAATTCAAAAATCTGCCACATTTATGGTTTCATCATCAAATTTCAAGAATTGGACAAATGCAGAGTCTTCTTGGGACATATCGCTAACATGTGAGCATGCTGTGCAAGCAGTTAAAAAGGATAGAAACGGAGCCAGTCACCTATCTGCAACGAAGGCTACCCGACACAGCACTGCAGCCTTTCTTAATCTTAAAATGGCTAAGTTGCTGTACACATGATTTCAGACTATTCTTACTTGAGCACTGTAAAATCGGCTCTTACATATCTATGTATTCTGATTTGTAGGGCAAAGAATTAATATGGCAAAATACTTTCTTAACTACTTGGCATAAAACCTGTACCTATTGCTATGTTCATTTCCCATCCGGATGGTGTCTCCAAATCATGAGAATAAAAGTTAAAAGTGAAAACGGAAACAAACAATGAAAGAAGGCTCACTACTGCTACGCAACTTTCGATAAGTTTATTGTAATTATGAATGTTAAGATACAGAGAAACAGGAGTATGAACTTACCGGAAAGACGGTAACTGTTCTATTAACATACGGTTAAGACCTTTCGGTTTGGCTTCCCCTAGTTGTTCTGCTAAATTGAGCAATGCTTCGTAGTTTTCATTATCATCTGAATCAGGACTCAGGCGAAGTGAGTTCAATTCATTTGGATTAAACCCAGAGAGAGGTTGAACGCCTGCAAACATAGCTACGATTTGTAACCAGCTGTGATATGGATTGGAAGATGGTGAGAGAATGTGTCTGCGCCAACGACGATCTCGGTTCCAGACTTGTGTTGCTGACGAAGGTGGACGCAAACGACCTCCATTCATTACTTCTATTGATCCTACACTAGTCCGTGGCTGGAACAGATGAAAATATAATTGTTCATATAAACTGGACATAATACATGGTATAGATTGAGCAATCTTTAGATGAAGAGTAAGAATCTTTTTGTATGTATAAATTTAATTTATTTAAAATAAATTTTGTATGTATAATACCCTTGAGGTCGCCACTTTTTGAATTCAAGAGGGATGGAGTGTCATATTGCAGGAATTCGCACATATTCAAAATTCTTTCCATTAGTTGGCAGACAGGGATGTTTTGAACGCTGGAAATAATCATATTTGACTTATTCGTATCTTTGCATGTCAAAAACAGTTGAGATTTTCATCTCGAAGATTGCATTTTATTATGTAAGCTCTACAAAAAAAAATCAAGAAACAATGAAATTTTAAAAGCAGAGGTAAATGTGAAAGAAGAGAAAAAATTACTTCTGCGAGGATGAGACTCTGAAGTGAGGTAGGAGGAGGCGGGCTTGGTACGAAGACAGGGTTCACATGCTGAAATGCTGCCTGCTGGTGTTCTAGAGGAGGTGGAGTTAGAGGCTGAGCCACGTAACTCATCTGTAATAAATAAAACACAAAATAAAAATCAAGAAGAGAATCGTTACATGACATATTTTCTTAAAAGTTTGGAGAGAAGAACTGATAGCGACTTTAACTTGCAGAAATATGCATATGAAGTTTCAGTCTTGATATGTTCAAGCATGCTCGTAACCATCTTTAAATGCATCCTCATTAGGGCCGCATAAAGCAGAAAGGAACGAAGCCACATAGCTATTGCCAAATTTAATCGGACAATTTAACTTTTTACATGAAAACGGTTGTGCAGATTTTTGCGCTAATTTCAGTGAATTTTCTGCATAGTGCAAACCAAATTCCATGAAATTTTCACAGAAATCCACACAAACATTGGCTTGTAAAAATTAAATTGCCATGTTAAATTTGGCAATTGCTGATGTGGCTTGGCTCCTTTCTGTTGAATGCAGTCCATTTATGCCTACTTAAAAACTCAACTCACTCATCCACTATATTAAAAACAGGAAAAATATTTTTTTACAGAGCGTCTAGTACAATGATAATTCCTTTTTCTTAAAAAAAAATTATAATGTTAGAACAGAACTTTTTATAAAAGCAATCAAACTTGATTTCCTCAGTCCGAAAGTTATTTTAACACAAGAAAGAGATAGTGGGAAGGGGTTCAGAACTGAGAAAAGAGTGGACTTTTGTTCCATCTCCAGCAGAGATAGAATTCTTTCTCTCTCTCTACTTTCGACTGATTTCTTTCTTTCCTTTTTTCATTTTGTTTTTTTTTTGTTCTTCTTCCTTCTGCTAAGAAAGAGTTGAGGATCTCGTCTTGTTAGAAAACCACGTGTAAGCACAGATTTCCAAACAGTTAGAGCTTGAAGCATTGGTTCCCCAATTACATTTGTCGCGGGCAAATGGTCGAATCAGGCAGTTTGTTGAATGCCTTGGCAAATATTCTTACTTAGGCTGAAATTCTAATTATTTCGCTAATTGTAGACGAAATAATTCACTAATCTTGAGGAAAATAATTCTCTGTAAAAATTTGCTTCATACAATGATAAATAATTTATCATTAAGTTAATAATGAAATATTACTGCAATGATAATAATGAAATACTTAATAATGAGCTTTTGTTTATCTGAATTCCTTAACAATCATCCCTCGGATATGAATTAATAAAAGTGTAAATACATTTTTGGAATGAAAGCAATACTCACTTGATAATTGGGTTGAAATGGAGCAGTGGCGAAAGTCTGAGAAACGTGGACTTGTGGTGTAGGAACAGTGGTTGGGGGACGTAAATTTAGATGGGGATTTGTAAACATTGGTATAGGCAAAGTAACAGGCACCTGAAAATGCATAAAAATTAAGATTGAAAGAAATGCATTGAACTTGAATTAGGATGGCAAAAGGGTTTCCAGAAAAATTTTCTTTACCCTCTCCTTAATATTCCAGGTTTCCCATGACTCTTAGAATTTCCATCTCCCTGACTTTTCCTGATTCTTTTCATCCTTTTTTTCCAAATAAATAAATAAATAAAAAAAAACACACACAAAAATAAACATGCCTCAGCAAAAAGTATTGATAGAGTCCACTATTAACATGTCTTTGGTTTAAAAATCGGAATTTGTCAAATTTTTAGACGTCAATAAGCTACGAGACTCCTTGAACTACATTAGAGCTCCATTGTAATCATCAAGAGTATTTTCTGTAAAATATGCTGTACAATGTCAGATACACACATACCTAGACCTAAATAATAGACCTAAGTAGGGGGATAGCAGTAGCCCTTAATCATGGTGTCTAGATTTGGACTGCATTTTGCAATTTGGACCTATAAATTCCGGCTCAGTTTAAAAACAACGTATGTGCCTCATTAGTTTCCCCATGCACATAAGTGTTTTTTCAGATGAGCCAGAATTTATAGGTCCAAATTGCAAAATGCAGTCCATTTCTTGACCATGCTCATTCCCTGAAAAGAAACCAAAGTTTTCTCCCCCTTTCCCAAGATTTTTTTTTCTTTAAAAAACCATACAAATCTGAGGAGTTCCAGATATGAATATAGATTTTTTTTTTTTCTTTCAGCCGATTCTTTGGCACACATTTAAGTTTTTAATTCCAAAAGAATTCCTGATGTTTATAATGTCCAATCAATTAAAGCTTCTTTATTATTATGATGGTTTGAAGATTAAAAAGTGTGTGATTCAGGACGTCAATAATGGTGGCTCAGGCGGATTAACATAAACCTTGATAACGATGGCTACTTAAAATTTCCGCAAAATTCGAAAACGAAACGGCTCTAAGCGGTAGAGGAAAAGATTACCGGTTTCTGGAGCAGAATCCCTGATTCTCCCCCCCCCCCCCCCCGGAAATTTTTAATTCCCTGATAAACCCTGTTTTTTCCCTGTCCTAGAAATTATGATCGTAAATTATATAGATGCATCTAATTATTGATTGAAATCACCCCAATTTCCTCTTTATTTCAATTGAGATTGCACATGGGGAAAAATTGTAGAAGAAAACTTACCGGAGTGACATCAACAACCATTGCTGAGTGAGAATGTTGGTGCTGATGAGGATGAGGATGTGGGTGTGGATGCACATGAGGGTGAGCATGTGCATGCGGATGTTGATGCTGGTGGGATGGATGTGGGTGTGGTGGTGAGAAATTTCCTGAGTGGATACTGTCCCCTTGCTGACTCCAGCCCAAGTCTCTATATCGAACCGGTCTCCTCAGTGGACTGAAGAAAAACAGAGAAAGGAGGATGATTATGCATAATAATAGAAACATTGGAGAAATGCTGTTAAGAATTTAGAGGCTTGGGTTTTCTAATTTATGAAATTGAAGTTATACTTAACTGGAATGAGACAAGCAATATTACAGGTCAGAATCAGAAACTATCTAAGCTCTTGATTTGCAGGGATAAGAGACATCATTAAGACATTTAGATGCGGCTTAACCATTAAAAATGGATTTAAGCTCGGTAAGTTTTGCTGGGTTTACAAAACTCAGCTTGTGTAACAATTTGCAGAATCCACTTAGTCCAATTATGAGAAAATTGTACAATTCTGTATAAGCCTTCAGACTGCAGGATAGAACGATGTCATACCTAATCACTACAAACATTGATTGTAGAAATTGCAAGAAAATGTATTTTTGTTTTCAACTTCTCCTTCATCTCCTTTTACAGTAGAGTGGCTAAGAAGAAATCAAGAAAGAATGGAAACATTAAATATTCAGAAGAGGCACACGACCCAAGAATGGGTCAAGTAGTTTCATGGTAAACATTTTCTAAATTTGTTTTTTGACTGAATTTTCAGCATGATCCCACATGTAGCTAAATGTATTGTAAAACATCCTGATTTTTTCATACAACCTGACAACCTTGATAAAACAAAGGGTAAAAATCATCATAGATACCTCCTTCTCCTTCGACAGCGCTGTTCCCAATCCCAGCTTCTTGGATGAGGCTGATAAGATGGAGGTGGAGTGGTGTTGATTTGTTGATGAGACATTCTCAAACGTTTCCGATCAGGACTTTCACCCTGCAGGAAAATTTGAGATGAAATTCGGATATAAAAAACAGGATCAGTTGAACCTATGAACTTGATGTGGCTCAAAGCCGTTGGTTGCCTTGTTATTAAAGTTTACTATTCATCAATGACTATACAATAGACTCTTAATGTTTATTGGAGAGTGTGACCGACCTGAAAATTATTTTGCATAATAATTTTTTGCTTTTTCGTGGTCTTTTCGTATTTCTGTAAACTTGAGCGTGTGAAATCATCCAATTTTCTTGATTTTACATGTATTGTGGTTTTGACAATAGTAAAATAACAATATGAAATGATGGTAACTAAATTCACTCCCTGTTTCCTCAAAACAATTGTTAGCACCCCTAATTGCTTCAAAATTGCCTCTTTTTCAAAATTTAACAGCTTCCAAATCTCTCCGCGCGCAGCCCTACCGTCGACCATCTGATTTGGAGAGAGGAGCTCACTTAACAACAATGCTTACAAATGCTAGATGTTCTGATTTTCAGCCTCCAGATTTCTTGTTTCAGTTTTCAAAGTCACTGATTTTGGCATATTTCAATACTCATTCTAGGTGCCACAGGGTCAAATTCAATCATTAGTTAATGAATTAATATCTGGCATTATAACTGTGAAGTAGTTATGCGATGAGGGAGCTAGTCAGTATTCAAACTTCACAACTCTAAAACATTAAAAAACAGCCCTACAGGACCCTTTTAGTTACACTACGTTGAGATGCACTACAGTTTCCTCAGCAAAGTTTTAAGAACACTTAATAGAAAAAATGATCTTACCTCTTGAACGCCAGCACAGAAATAAGGTGGAGAGTGTGAGAGTTGTGGACTTAAACGAACATCTGCACCAAAAAAAAGAAGAGTCATGGTGAAAACTACAAATATTTTTGAATTTGGAGTTGATCATACCACAGGAGTGCAAAAATTACAGAGTTGCATATAAATGGCACATAGTACAAGAAAATGTCAGCCTTTTCTTTCAAAATTGAACCGATTTGCAATTCAGAACTACAATTTCTAGCTTTGATTAGAAACAACATATGTACCATTAGTTCTCCTGTGGGCATGAGAGTTTTCACAGATGAGTCAGAAATTTTAGTTCCTAATTGCAAAATTTGTCTAGTTAGAGTTTTATTTGGACGGATTCAACTGGAACAAGCTTAATTGAAAGTTTCAAGGCATTGTATTGTTTGGTTCTCTTTCAAAAAAACTAAACTTTTGAGAAAATTAGGCAACAAGAAGTGCAATTAGATTATTTCTGGTTAAACCCATCCATTTAGAATGATAAGATTGGGTCAGCTAAAATTGTCGGTTGTTCTAAAAGAAAGACAGTCAACTTTTTATGCTTCATGACATCTGTGACTTTCGGATCAGGAAAAAAGAAAGCTGTTTCTCCAGATCTTTTAAAAACTCAAGCCAAAATTTTTTGCACTCCTGTTTTGTCAAAAGAGCATTCATTAAGAGGTGGAAGCATGAGTAAGGAAAAAATCTTAATTGGACTTCATTTTGCAATTAGGAACTACAATATCCGGCTCATCCGTGAAAACACGTATGTACATAGGGAAACTAATGGTACACACATTGTTTCTAAAGTGAGCCAGAAATTGTACCTGGTTCCAATTTGCAAAATGTAGTCCTAGTATTCGAAATAAAAGTGGAAAAAACTACATGGCTCAACCGAAATGGTTTTCAAAGTATTTTTTACACCATTAAAAGGGGCAGATAGTGGGTGAGAATAGTTGAGAAGCTGTGAGTTGTTCAAAGGTTGAAGCACTGGCATAGGGTTAAAAAATCCAGGCTTAAAGAATTTCTAGGGAAAAACACTGAAGCCAACAACCACACTTCAGCCTTTAAATGATGAATAAAGATGATGACTTGATTCCTTCCCCCATACATATATTTCTGTCTCATGCATCATCCTCGATGCAATAATTACTTAATATAACTAGGAAATAGGTATGCTTTCTTAGAATTGTAAAATAAGGCAGAACACCAGGTGAAGGATGAGTGCTTGAAAGCATGACACTCAATACTTTCTTGATTGTTTTCATGAAACTTTCAAATTTTGGTGAGAAAGGACCCCTATACAAAAATATTAAAATTCTGTACCTGAATGAGTTCTACGCAAATTAGGCCTCTGACTAGCATCATGAGCATTTGGTCCCAACAGGTTACTGTAATTGAAGTTTACTAACTCCTGACGCCTAAGTAGAGGTTCATCGGCCAGCTGAAAACAAAGAAAGAAAGTTAAGTCATTATAATTTCTTTCCTATTTTTTGAATAAAAAAATTAAATTGGGTAGAATTAGAGCATCAATTGTTAGGCTTCACCTAAGTATTTTGAAAATATTTCTCCAACCCTCTCAGATTTTTTACGGTGGGCCTGTGGCAAACTTTGGCTAGAGCAAAAATAAGAGTTGTTTCTCATAGAAAATGTCTCGAAAATCACAATGAGCGCATCAGTGAAGTCTGAGATGCACTCCTTACTTCACAATTTGCATGAGAAATTTGCGTTTTTTTCGAGCTTCCCACTTAAAGAACGATACTACGGCATAGGTGAACATTTCGTTAGAGGAGTCATTCCATCCAACCCATGCTCACAAGGATACTACGCAATATTCAACATAGCCGACACCAATCCGCCAAAACACATGTTACACATGATGATTCTAATCACCGAATAACAATGGGCGTGTTTACATTCACATTTTTCTTGTGTTGATAGATATCCGCCTAGGTTGACCTCGTGCTCTCCTCAACTTGTGCGCGAAAGTGTCGGCCATGTTGAGCAGGGATTGAATGGAACGACTCTTCTAACAAAATTTTCAGCCGTGCTATAGTATCCTTTCTGAAGCAGGAGGCTTAAAAAAACGCGAATTTCTTACACAGATTGTGAAGTTAGGAGTGCATTTTAGATTTTGCTGATGCGCTCATCGTGATTTTAGAGACATTATCTATAAGGAAAAACTCTTATTTTCATTCTAGCGAAAGTTTGCAACAGGCCCATTATTTTTGATTCATTACCTTGCAGTTTGGAAAGTGGCTGCATTCATCCTGTGCTGATATTAAAGGGTTCACCGTCTAGTTAAGTAAGAAGTTGAAAATAAATGAAAAATATGCTTTTTCTCTTCAGAAAGGCGAAGAAAGAAAAAGGGAATTAACCAACAACTAAAGTGTACTGTATGAAATTAAGAAAACTTACTACTTCAGTAAAAATCGAGTAAGTTTTCAAGGGATCACATTGGTTAGTTTTTCAAAGAAAATATAAATTATGATAGGAAGTCTGTTGCGTCACACATGAAAACATGTGGTTTCGCGCTGCGGCCATCAAAATACAGTAACCATTCAATCTCTCTCAATTTTTAAGATATTAATGAATCTAATTTTGGAAACATATTCTCAATAAATTGATTTGACAATCAAATGAGTTCACATTCAGAAAAAATACAACATTCAACATAAGAAAAATTTAAACTGCCAAAATTTGCATTCAGAGTTGATTGGTACGAAAGAGAGCTGGGTTTTCCCCTTGATGTGAGAATGTTTTCTTGAAAAATTCATGAGAAGTTTTCCTGCAAAATTAGAATCACTGTTTTTTAAAAAAATTTTCTGGTCACTAAGAACCTATGTAAATAAGTAATATGAAACTTTCATTCTAACACAGAAAAATAAACAAAGCTCTTACCACTTCATACAAAGGGGATGCCACCTCATAAAGAGGAGGAGTCATGTCAAACATTGGAGGGGAAATGCGATCCATGGCTGCCAAGGAGTCAGTGAGAAATATACCCGGTGGTGAATTATTATCATGTTTAGGAAATGCTACATTTTGGAATGGATCTTTATCCCTATTGAACAAGAAATAATAAGAAGAGCATTAATACATGGAAACCAAGAGAGAAAAGAATGAAGTCAGCATCCTTAAATTACATCAAAAAGTGAAATTAATCAAGTTCAAAGTCTCCAATAATTACCAAAGATTAAAGGCCAGTTACAGTTTGTGTGGATCCCTTCCATTCTTTCTTTGGTATACCTACCTTCATCTACATTTTCAGATAGGTGATCAAAATGAGGGGGAAGGAAGGTAAACACAGAACTATCACTGCTTCTTGCAAGAGGAATACAAACTACAAGGTTCCTGGCGAAATCTTCCAACCCTTCTCCCTAACTTCCCAGGTTTTATATGACCTTTGAATTTTCCATCTCCCAGTCTTGTCCTGATTCCTTTCAATCTTTTATTCCAAATCAAAAGAAACACAAAAATAAAAATAGCTCAGCACAAAGTATCACTAGGGTCTCAAATTTCCGAGGGGAAAAATTCACCAAAGACCAGGAGAGAGCGATGCAAGAATCAGTATCTAAGAGCCATGAAGTTAACCAAAAAATTACAATGGTGCACAGAAGTTATCAAATTTCCCGGTTTCGCATTTTCTCTTCTTGACTGATCTTGTCTATCTATTTATTCCTGTTTTCCCAGTCACTGGGAACCCTGAAATTATGATTCGGAAACACTGCTTAAAATTTCAGAAAGAGGTTATTTTAATAAGATTGATATTTATTAGATCCCTAAATCATGCATGGGAAAAATGGATTGCTGATATAACAATTCAGTTGTTAGAAAAAGTAACTGCAAAGTTTCAAACGTACATTTTACAATAGTGGAAAACTAATTTAACCACAGGAGTGGTAAAATTAGCAGTTTTTTATTGTGAAATCTACATTGAAACATTGCAGTCACTTTTTTAACGACAAAATTGTAAAATCAGCAATTTCGTTTCTTCTGTGTGGGTCAAGATATCCAAATTGAGATCAGTATGGATATATTGACCCACTTTGCCTGTTTGCCACAACATTAGAAAATGTCAATACAAAGGAAGTGCAGCTACATACAAGGGCTACGAACAATAGAGAGGGATAGTGAGTATACTTTTGTCCAAAGGTGGGAACGTACGTTTAGCAAATAACAATTAACATTTAGGAGTGAGCTTTCTTGAGGGGGAAAAATGTGGATTGGCCATTCAGCCAACTTACCCAGAGTTGTATCGCTGACGAAAGTTTTTAGAATATGGGGCGTGAGCATGGTAACGAGGTTGAGGACGGTTTGGTCGGCCACGATGCTGATTAAAAGGCATGTGACAGTTGTATGGCGGTGGGTTCCGGCCACGATTTTGTTGATGGTTCATCTTGAGCTAATCTAAACAGATGGATGAGATTAGTTGCAGATAACATGAACGGTGTAATACATCTTGAAAAAGAGGCAAATGTCACTTAGGTAAAACCTTTAGAGAATTCTACCCAAGGCAGTTACTTCAAATTTAAAACCAAGAAGTAATTACCTAACAATTCTATGAATAGGCATCATCAATCACCTCAAAATGTAATGCAATTGTAGAAAGGATCCGAATCGTAGGTTAAGAGAGAAATTGCCCAGCACCGTTGCTCTAAATTATACCTGAGTAGGTAGAATAATTAGTGAAAACTGAGACAACTGTGCATGCATTAACTTTTAAGCAGCTTAAATGTCTGAGAAACCCATTTGCTAGAGGCGTTTACTTAAAATTTGAGCAAGATGATGATATGTTCTGTCAACAATTGATATGAGAGTGTGTCGTGGTGCAGGAGGTGAGTTACAGTGACTAAATACTTATTGCACCTAGGAAACATGGATGGTTGACTGACCTAGTATACTAAGAAAATTTACCTAGAAATAATTCGACAAAGCAGGAAAATGAACCTACTGCTTGCAAGCTTGAGTGAGCAATTTTCAGGGTTAGGGATTCATGTAGCTCATTGCCACAGAACTTAACCAAAAAAAAATGGAGGTAATGCGCCCTGTTCTACGTACAGGAAATGAGGTAAAAGCTCAAAGAATCCACCAGGATGGCATTAAAGCTAGTCGAGATTAATAAAAGTCAGTCGAGACTGCATCAGTAGGTATTACTTCTTTTAAAGGCAGATGGAAAATGAGAAACAGTAAAAAAATGACCTTGGCTGTCTACCAAGCTCCTACAGAATTGTGTTTCCTCAGAGCATTTCAATAATATGGGGAAAGGTAAACTTACGGAATTTATGTAGTAAGATTGATAGTGAAGGGAGTTTGTCTGTTAGTTTGACAACTAACAGCTAATCAGCAGATTTAGACACGTATTTCACAATAAAGGCATAGCTAGGAAGTAGGTGCTCTCATGTAACACTTGGGAGAGGGTGTTTCGAACTTGAAACTCGGAACGTACCGAAGGCTAGACGAAACGTTAAGCAGAAACTGAAGGCAGATTGAAGAGGTAGACCTAGGAAAACCACAAAATTAATTCTAATAACATTATTTACAAACTAATTTGACAGAATTGATGACCACCACCACTGTTCATGATCACTTCACATCACCACAGACACAGATTTACGGGAGCATCAACACAGCAGCAGCACAGCAGACACAGGCAGGCAATTCTCAGCATACGGGGTATCTCAAAAGTCTGTGACCATGTCCGATAGCTTTATCAGCATCTGGGTTGAAATACTAAGCGGAAAGTTGCTGTCGGCTGTCCTCTCATTCAAAGGTTTTTACCTTTAAAATGTTTGTCTTGTTACAAGTAATATACCGTTCTCAAGAAGTGGTCAATTAGCTTGGGTAATTAGTGTCATTTCCATAGAATTTCGAGACACCCTGTATCGTGACAAAAGTACAAGTGAATTTTTCAGACGGATGTGAGAGCGCACTCTAGTGAGTGCAAGAAGCAGAAGAAGTGAAACGCGATGTCAATTTTACAGAGATTGAAGGATCACGTCTCGGCCCGCGACAGAGATGAAGGAAACGTATTTACGAGGGTTGTATGGTTGTAAACAAATGGGTTTCCCGAGTTTTTGCGTTCAATCTTAAACTTTTACAAATTTAAAAATGTCCGTTGAAGCTACTCCTGACAGTGAATTAAGAGATTTAGTGGCACAAGCTCTAGAAAATAATGGTCTCCTTTCTAAACTGCGTGTAAGTAATCTTATCTTCTTATCTATTCCAAACGATCACTCTCTCCCCTCTAGCAGCCAAGTCTGGCAAGTATATCTTACTTCTCATTATTTAGAGTTTCATATTCTCTCTTACAAATCGATGAGAACTTGGCTTTAATTGATTATAAGCACCTTGAGGTGTATAAAGGTACGAGTGTCTAAATGCGCTGCGTTGTCGAAGTATGTAAACTGTTTGGGACCGTCGAGCAACAGAATCACCCAATCCCAAATGCACAGCATAGTTCGACTCCGCTTGGATTGTCAGATGTTCTGGACTGTTTACCAAATGGAAGTCAACAAGTCATCGGTCTCAGGAGGTAGTTGAGAGTGTTAAAATAACCTCTAAATGTACTTGTGCACGCAGTGTCAGAGTGTCTAGCTAGTGATCAGAGACGACCAACAATGTGTTTCGCAACGGGTAAGTCAACGGTCACATGATATTCGTTAGCGTTGAGCACCCACCTTAAACTGAAAGTTTACCTCAACAATGCACCCCAGGTCATAGTCACAAGCGTTTTAACAAGTGTTGTGCACCTTTCAGAATGATAGATGTAGATGACGCAGTGATGACAACTCTGAAAAATTTACAATATGTTGCACCCTTTTATATGTCTGAAATTTCCTTTCATCCATTCTCTCAACCACAAATTGAATACACACTCACCATTGTTAAAAAGTAGGTATCGAAGTGAATATCTGATGTGATAAGGTGACTTTTAGGCAGAGATCAGTTATTCCAATAAAGCTTTCAAAATGTGGCCCCTACATAATAATTTAAGCTCAATTCACACTCTCAAACTTTTCATTCAACGCTTGAATGCAACTTGTAATGAAAAGTTGGATAGTGTGATACTGACGCTGGAAAACAACAATTTGATGAAAAATTGATCTTAACTTGAATGTGACATCACATTCAACTTTTCGTTCAACTTTCCATCCAATTGGTAGCACCAATTGGTTCATATGATGAAAAGTTGAATGGAGAGTAATTAAATCAAATTTTTTTGCGTTCAAATTTTCCATCCAACTTCTCGTTCAATTATGTCGGATAAAAAGTTTGATAGTGTGTATTGGGCTTTAGAGGTTGGTATAATTGTGCTGGATCCTTTTGATAAGCAGGGAGATGAAAACCAGAAGAAAGTAACGTTCTCCTCTCTCTTTCATCTTTTCTCTTCATACTGTAATGATCTGTTCAATATTTAGTCATCTAGCCCGAAGTTTATGACAATGAAATGCAACTAAAAATTTGCTCTTTTTTTATTTTTAGGCAGAGTTAAGAGCCAGTGTCTTTCTCACATTGGAAGAAAATGAAAAATTTCAGGTATGTACTTCTTTTCTTGCTACAGCTCTCATTAATATGCCCATAATGATTTATGTTTAAATTTTTAGAAACCATTCAATCTTGAATAATACTGATACCCACCAGGAGTAATATTTCCAAGTTGGAAACACTGAGTTTCGTCCATTTAAAAAAATAGAAATTACTTTGATTGAAACGAAGGGAAAACTGTGTTGCCATTTGCTGGAACTGTCACTGGCACTTAGCCACAATATTTACCATAATGTCAGATTCATTTTCGCTGTACTAAGTACATGTGAATTTGATCTTTCCATCACATGCCAGAAAAACAGATTCTGTTCTCTAACCACTGTCTCTCCCGGGAGTCATATCACCAGCACTTAAAAATTGTCTCATAAAAATTGAGTCGTCGATAGTTTTGGCTCCCATCAGATAATGTCAAAATTCAGCCAGCACCAAATTACTGGATAGTTTCTTTTGTAGTCCTTTAGAGGTTGCATCCAGTGCAAAATTACCTGTGAACTCAGTATGGTCATTGTATGAAAGTTTCTCTCTTGACCATTTGACGTCATTTATCAATAAAAATGAGTAACTTCAGTGCAAATGTAGGCCTTTTTCAAGGTATTTTCACATGACGAAAGAAAAGTGTAAAATTAATTTTTTTCAGTTTGAGGTATGTGGTAGGTAATTATGGAAATAAATTTATTTTTTTCTCTTAATTTCAGAGTAAAAAATTCACCAATGAAAAGTTGAAAAATTATGCCAACACTGCCGAGGGATGCCTTGCCATTTCCCTAGTTCGGGATTTTTTAGATTATTTTGGACTTGAATTTACACTATCTGTGTTCGATCCAGAGGTTGGCTTGGGCAAAGACTATGGATTTGAAAATAAAGAAAACATCAGACGTAAGCTAAGCCTTGGAAAAAATAGTGGTAAGTATGTGCCTGGTCATATCTCAGTGTTTAGGTATCGATGGAATTGTATAAACATAAAGTTGTATCTCTTTACTAGTTATCTAATTGCAGTAAAAAGGATGAAAGGAGATGAAAGATGATGCGAATTCTTCAACTTTCCCTGAATATGTTGTCATAAAAAATACTCAATTATAATACCTACAACAAAAATAAATAAATAAATAAAAAAAAACTTTCCTATGTATGACAAGAGAGTATTGAATAATCAACACATTAGTGATGGATTTGGAAACATATCTTGATTATATTTGATTATAAAAACAGTGTGATCGAAATGCTAATGACTTTTGGCAGTAAAAAAAACCAGTAAGTTTCATGTGCTATTTTTCCATTTCAGTGTCATTAGAATATCATTTTCTCTTTGGCACAAGGCATTAAAGTCAGCCTGCAAAATTTAAGAAACAGAAAATAGACCAAGAAAAGTTGTGGTGTCTCGACTTATCCGCCGAAAGTCCAAGAATTTGTCTCACAAGGTTCTGCTCCACCGTCCACCTTCCTAAGTGTTAGAGACTTCATGGGCAGCTCCTTGACTTTTGTCATGCCTCTGGATGAACCTAGTTAATTTCTACTATATTACCTTTTTCATTGAATTTCAGATGAATCAAAACCTTTATTATCGCAAGCCCTTGCATTACTTTTAAAGCCATCTGAAGACAGAGAGGTAAGTTATTCACACTAGAAACACACTTTTGGTCTTCTCTTTCAGGCTTGAAACAGTTTATGGTTATCAAAGACAGCTCCTGTCTTTTTCCTTCAAAAAGGAAATTATTTTGTCTAGGTTGCAATGATTTTTAAAGATTCCATTACCCCCCAAATGAATAATTTAAAACTAATGAACAATGGTAAAATTCTGAGATGGGTCGCCTTTGAACCAACTAATTTTAGAAAGCAAAAATTTGGACAGAAAATATTCTATTATAAATTCTTTCAAGAGTCTCTCAAAATTTTAAAAATATTTTGTCCAGGCGCTTCAAATTTTGCTTGCCATAACTGTAAGGAAGAGAAATTCGATTCCATATTTTTTCCTTTGAAGGTCTTAGTGAGATAAAAACACCAACATTCTTTTTTTGAGTTGAAATTTCATGCAGTCGTTTGAATTGATCTTTTTTTAGAGTGCCTTACCCAACAATAATGCCTCTGCTGGAGACACCAAAAATGAATATATCGAGAAATTTCAATCTTCTCCAAAATATAATGGCTCTGAAGTAAATGTGCATCCCTCAGAAAATGAGGGGAATCGTATGATCCTGAGAAATGGTGATATTGCAAATCTGAATGATTTTAAAAACGGTAGCAACAATGATGATGAGACATTCTCTCTGGGCAGACACTTGACTGACTATTCGACTGTAAGGTAGGTACATAGTCGTTTTAGTGTGAGTATGAACTTTAAATCAAGTCACAAATGCATGGCATGTGTCGAAACTGCCCTTTTTTTAAAATCTTACTTTGCAAGATACTTCACTGAAAATAGAATATAAGGAGGGTATTTTCTATGCTAATCTGACTGTAATAGCATTGACTTATAAATTTGGCAATAAAAAAATTGTAATACAATTTTTATGTTTGATGTAATAATATTTACAAAAACGTTTCAAAATACACAGCGTAGAGAACTCTTTTTGCTCTCTTTTGGACTTTTTGATCTAATTTTTTTCCATGTACTGAAGGTCACAATAGTTTTGCGAAATTATTTTTAACCTATATCTCCAGAAAATAACTTTAACAGAAAAATGAATGCCAATGATTCACGGTCAAATGTATCTTCCTTCAGCCCAATCAAGAGTAGAAACAGACTAGTGAGGGTGCAAAAAGTGCTTGATCAGCTGTTCGCAGAATGCAGGAGAAATATAAAGGCACCAGAAAAGGAAGGATGATATGAAGGCAGAAGGCATTTGAGATATTTCTTTTTTAAGCTATCATTCAATTATCGAGTATTGATCTTTTGCATGCATGCGCTATTTTTAGTCAAGGAAACCATTAAACGTATTATTTTTTAAGAATGCAACTATTAAGCACATCACTTTTTGAGAAGAAAACTGAGTAACGCTCTCTTCTTTGCAAAAAAAAGAGAAAAAAACGCGCAGTCTTAAGGAGACAGAAGTGTGAGGGCTGCCTCAAAAATGCAAAGGGAAAGAACTTTTTGCACCTTTGCAGAGTGAGTTAATGTAGGAAGTAGTACGCTAGAATTTATTTTATATGTATAAAATTTGATAAGATGCATAATTTTTTCCACTATTCTGCTTTCAGATCAAATTACAACTCTGCCAATCAATCTTCATTACCGCCCTTGGAAAATACCAACTCGAATCAGAATGTGATAACTCAGAATATGAAATCGCTCACTATCAACATTGACAATAGTACGTTGGTTGTTAATACCTTCTCTCATCGCAGTATAATGTTTTTGTCCGGGTGATATGTTGTGTTTAAGTAGTGTCTGGAAGGAATTTTCAGTTCATTTGAATTAAGAATTCACTTAAGAGACTTTTCCCTTTTTTCTCAGACTCTTCTCTGTTGAGAAAAAAGATTTCATTTTCAATGGCAGGCAATTTAAAAATAGGAGGTAATCTTAGATCAAAAATTACCAAAATAAAAATTGGATGGTAATTTACTTTCCCTATCAGAAAGTCAATCAGTGACGTTATTGCAAGTTATACGGAATACAAATATATTACAATATTATTGCAAGAAAATTTTAATTTTCACATGTAGAAGTCACATATTTAATTCACATGTATAATCGTAATTTATTGTGTGTGTTGCATGCAAGAGATACAGCCAAATAAATATACTCTAAACGGGTAAAATTGCACACAAATCCTCTTGGGAAAGTTAAAAAAGTCTAAAATCCATTCCTTAGCCTGCAATCTGCGTAGTATGTAACTCGCTTTTTCACGTTTCCCGCGTCTGCAGGCAGTTTTTCCCAGTTACCGTGGAACAGGTTTGCACAGGCAGATGTGTAAAAAAATTAACTTGTAAACAAGAGATTTTGCCAATGTTTTCTATTGTATGATTTCAATTGTTTTCAAGCGTTCTTTTCTTTTTTCTTTCTTTATTTCACTAAAACAGAAACTTTGAATCAATTGAAATCTTGTGCAAAAAGAGTTTATAACAATGCACAAGATTGTTTGGTTATCTAGGTTAGGGTTCTCTCCGGGCGATCCTTGCTACCTACCAATCACCAAGAAAAACTGCGCACATACGCAGTAAATTTGAAAAATCGTGTTACAAACGATGCAGATTGCGCTCGAAGGAGTGGATTTCAGACTTTTTTTATGTTCCCAACGTGATTTTCGAGTGAATTTACCTGTGGAAAGTCTATTCAGTTGGTTGTGTCTCTTACGTGCAACAGACCCATCATAATTTTTTTCCATATAATTCTTTTTTTTGTTATGTGAATCACGCAGCGGCCACATAGGATTCATAGTGGTTGAAACCAGGGGCCATCCTTTCATATGACATAAGCTTCAGGCCTGTAAGAAATGTCATTCTTATCCTTGCACCTTTAAGGTTCTTTCTCTCAAACATATAATGATTCGAGCTGATAATGATTCGATGATTCGAGCTTTTTTAGGCTCCGAAACGAGATTCTCTTTCTCTACTTATGTTTTTAAGATTTTGATGTCTTCTTCCAGATTTTCAAGATGAACATATAGGCGATTTACTGAAAACAAATTCTAGTTTAAAGTCTGAATCCATGCTGAATAGAGATAAAAGCAATGATAATTACCTTCCGAGTCTGCAGTCCCATACATTCAGTGGAAGTGAGATTGAAGAAGAAATATCTTCAGGAGATCAGTTTAATGACAGTTTATCCTTGGTATGTAATAGTCCAGCTATTTTGGTTTCTTTGATTACTCAGTTGTGTTAGTCATAGAAGTGCGTTTTGATGGTTCAAACTTACAGATTAGCAAAAATTAATGAGTTGCGTTTGGATACTTAGTTTCCATTCGACTTCTAATATTAACGAAGATATCGCTTTTAAAAAAAACTTTGCACATGACATCATCCACTACGGATGTACATACTATTGTTTCTATCATCTTGATTTCATGCTTGTCATAAGTTGAGCAACCTGTGCAAATGTGTGCATCATTAATTAATGAGCCCAAATCTGGAAGGAAGAAGATTACAACTTACAAAAAGGGAACTATCACATTTACGGTGTTGTAAAAATCGTGCATCTTCAATTAAAAAAATGCCAAAAAGTTTATTTTTGTAGAAAAAGATTGGATAAATTGTGTTGTTGCACATAAATTTAGTATTTTAAAGGGCAAAGTAGAATTGGGAAACTTTTTAAATCGCTTCGGTTCCTCTCTGTTGAATGCGATCCAAATATCCTTTCTGCTCTTGATTTGCTCTTGATCACTTCCTCTCTGCTCCTTGTCTCAAACCTTACTTTTTGAAATGACACTCTTTTGATTCTTTTTATAGAATAAATCCTAAGTTTGTGTTTTTTATTCCATTACAGGGTGATGAAGACATTCTGAGTGATGCTGCGTCGCCAGGGAAAAAAGTTGAAAATAAATTCTCCCTATAGTTTCTGAAAGTTGGCCACCTCCTGCCGTCAGACATCTTACAGCGGCCTCATATTTGTATGTAATTACCTACCTCTACTCTGTCAGTGGCTAGGACCCAAGAAAGATCAAGTAGACGTAGCTCAAGTTAAATGTTTAGTTAATTTAAGCCTCTAAATTTTTACATGTAATTGCTCAGTTCTTCTGCATGACTGAATGATCCTCATTTTCATGGTACATAATTTGTAGAATTTATTTTAATCTGAATTTTTCCTGTGCCCACCTGTTTCTCACAGTTTTTATGTTGACTTGATCGATATGAAATCTTTCTTGGGCCAAGGTCAAGATGCCTTATCATGGTACCTAACTTTTTTTTAAAAAATTAATAGTACCTATTGCCTATATTATGTCTATACCCCCTGAAATTAAATTTTCAGGCAGATAATTAATTATTCAACATGTATTTTTCTCGACTTCTCATGCATTTAAATATATTTTTTTCTTATAAAAAGACAACGAACAAAGCATTTAATACCCTGTCAACGGATGAGATTGCATGTTTTCAATTGCGACTGAATTGAAATTTGCATACCTCAGCGTTGCAGCAGTATTGTTTCAAGTGGTCTCATTGATGAATCCAGAGTCTGAACATGTATAGTCATTGTTGAACAAACATGATGAAATCCTCTCAATAAATTCTAAAATGTTGTTGCTGTATGAGGTTTCGCACATCTCATCTCTAATTCTGCATTTAAAATTATTTTCTGAATGTTGTATTAAAACAATGAGCTGACTCTAAACGCTGTACTGTGCACTTATTAATGCGAAATCAATAAAATGTTATGATGAAAAATTTTAGTCTTTAGGATGAAAAATTTAGGAAAGCACACTCAAATACAATAAGTCAAGTCATTATCTATTATTTTGCTAATTGCTAGGAAGTTAGTAAGTTCAGTGAGTAAGCTTAGTAGTTTATGTAACCTTTCAAATCCTTCTTTTTCTCTCACCTGCAATTAAAGTACTCATCGGGAATTCTTAAGTAGACAAAAGAACCAAAACTACTACTCGTCTGTATCTTGATTTTTCGGAAAAAGCTTTCTGTGGGCGAGTAATTGTGTTTTTAAGACCTCTTGTATCCTTATGGTAATATGGAACTTTTATTGAATTGTCAATTATTAACCAATGTAAATCATCAGACCTCAGGCTTTACTGTAAATGACCACTATTGACACTCCTTGATGACTTACAAATGTATTTTAAAGCTCTTTGATGTTATTTTGTGGGACTTGTCACATATATTTTCGAAATAAGTTTCTTTTCTTACCTGTTATTGTACTTAAAATTTTTTTCTCAGATAATTGGATTGCGTTAGGCAGAAACAAACCAAGTCACATTAGCCATCGCCAAATTTCATCACACAGTTAATTTTTCTACTGGAGAACGGCAGTGCGAATTTTTTTGAAAATTTTAGAGAATATGCTTCATGTCACTGAAGAAATCCCCCCTGAAATTTTTAAGAGGATCCATGCTGCCATTTTCCGGTAAAAAAATAAATCAGCGGATGAAATCTGACAATGGCTGATGTTACATCGTTTCTTTCTGTTTTAAGCCGTCCAATTTATATTATAAATCAGTCTATCGGTATGAGTATGGATCTGTTTTCTCCACACTTTTGAAGAGTACCGATCATCTTAAACTTTCACAAAAGTAGCCAGACAGGGCAAAAAACTGATCATCGCAATAATTCATGATGCCCTCTCAAAATTTCATGTGGAACATAATTGGACTACATTTTGCAATTTGGAACTATAAACTCTAGCTTGGTTTAAAAACAACGTATGTGCCATTAGTTTCCCAATGCACATAAGTATTTTTCCAGAAGAGCCAGAATTTATAGTTCCAAATTTCCAAATGCAGTCCAATTGAAGCACGGAGAACTCCATATTTTACTCAATATGGGGGAGCTGAGTTGACATTGTTTGCAATACATCAGCAGGGTTACCATGGTTACAGGCTAGAAAATCACCACTTCTTTTACTTTTGGAATCCCCAAAAAGGGTAGCAACCCTCCTCATGTATTTGCTCTATATCAATAATGCCTGAAGAGCTTTTCACTTTGCTCAATTTTGACTTGTTTCAGGAAAAATAAAGTGGTGGGGTAATATAAACTTATTTCTTGGCCACAATGAGAATCAATTTTCTTTTCTTTTTTGATGCATCCCTGTAGTATTAATTACATTTTTTACCTAGTCATTTTTAGCCCACTCGTTTTTGATTAGATGTACTAGGTATGTACTTCACAATAAATTTTGAATACAATTTATATGTGTCTTATTTTCATTTTCATTGTAGCACATTTTGTGTGTATTATTTTCAATCAGTTTAATTTGTTGTATTTTTGTCACAGTACATGTCTTTGTGATATACTCTCACGAATCAATTTCTTTTTATCCATTCAATCATTCTATTCTATTCTATTCTATATTTTTTATTTAATTTTATTTTTAATTTCATTCTCTTTGGATTTTGTACTTTTTTCTACCGTATATATGAGGATGTTTCCAACCTAACAGCATATACCCATGTCAACTTCGCCAAGATTGAGCATACCTTTAATTGTATAGCTGGTAAAGAACTGTATGCTCTGTTTTGTAAATATTCTCATATCTCTATTATTCCCAATATTTAAGCAAAGAAATGCAGTGTATGATAGCTTTTTGATGCTTGTACAAAAAAAGAGATAGTTACTTAATCTTGGCAACATTGACACAGGCATTTGCTGTTTGGTCTGGAAGGTTCTCATATGTAACTTACAATGGAATTGCAAGCAACGTTTTTTTGACCTTTCATTCCAGACTCTTGAAAAAAGGTGAACTTCTGGAGTTGAGAGTGTTTGCACCGTTAGGTAGATATGTGTCACATCAAATTAGAGAAGTGCAAGCTACAGTTGACTCCAATCACTTTTCTTCTCATTTATCAAAATGAGTTACATTGTATTGTTCTCCTTCTAATCGTCATGCATAATTTGTACTGCCTTCTGTTCGTTTCCAAATAATTCAATCATAATTATTATTTTTGTAATGTTTTTAAATAATGATCTCTAACTTGAGATTGATCTAAAAAATGGAGGTACTGCAAGATGTGACAAAACCAGACCTAATTTGCAAGTTAAGAGTCACAGAAAAAATTGATAAAATTTAAAGTGGTGAAAGTATGCATATAAAAAACTGCGAAATGACATGAATTGTATGGAATTTGTCTGTTTTTGTAGCTAGGTATACAAAAAAGAGAAAAGCAAATCGTTCTGATACCAATTTTTTCGTTATACATTACAATTTTTGTATGTCAGGCAATAAAAACAATGAACTGTGAGTCAAATAAAGTATATTTGTACTTAATAAACATTTGACAAAAATGTAATTACTAGCGTTTTCAATGTGGTCTATTCTCTTACATACATGATAGACCCTCCATCCCGATAATCAGTTCATGAATTCAATTTTGCATTTGAAATCTGCCGAAAAAGCAATGAGCTTTTTTAGTGTTATGAAATTATAAAATACAGAGCTAGTATAAGGCAGAGAAGTCAAAGGTGGGCCTCAAAGATCAAAGCACATACTCCATGTGGTTTTTTTTTGCTTTGGCAGCTTCAGATTAAATACTTCATAAAAAAATAGCTTACCTATCCTGAATAATTATCAAATTTTTGAAAATTAAAATCGATGAATCAGTTGAAAAAGATTTTTGGACCAGTGGTGGTGATTAGCAAAGAAAGGAAGAAATACTCAGGAAGAAGATTGAGTCCAAAAACAACTTTTTGGACTCAATCTGAGTATCAATCTTTTGGACTCAATCTTGAGTCCAAAAACAACTTTTTGGACTCAATCTTAAACCGAGTTAATCCGAGTTAACCAATCAAGATTGGTTAACTCGGAAGTTAACTCAGCAACATTACCTACTTCTATCTTTCTCGCCAGTGTAGGCATATTTTCAAAATTTACCAGTCAGATTTTAATCAAATCAAGGGTGACAATCTTGTAGTCCACCCAAGTAACACAGAAACAAGCACTTAGTTGCGATTTGATACATTAAAATTTCAGTTTTTTTACATTGCAATATTTTTATTGTTGTGGAAGTTTAATTTTTTTCAATATTTTAAAATTGCAATATTTTTATTAATTTGAATTTGTTCAGAACGCAATAGTTTTACATTATTTGGTCAATAAATGACGATTATAAGCGATAATACGTTCAATATCAATACCCACATGCTGAGATTCAGAAAATTTTATTATTCTCATCCACTTGTTCATATGGTGGGAGCTGTGTAAACATGTCAAGAAAAAGTTATCTGCAGCAACGGGGTGTAAAAGTAATGTGTTATAAGGGCACAAGAGGAAAGCGCCTTCATTCTTACGCGTGTATGCCATACCGACAGCCAATAAGCTCGAAAATTTGCATACCTGTACAGGAGTTGCCATCGACGTTGGCCGTCCGTTAGGTCCGCTGACCGAAATGATAGGAATGGTGAATGTGCCTCCTCTAGCTTCGTTCTGCATGTATGAACGGAGATCAAAAACGATATCTTTTTTCGTGCAACCAAAAACCATAAAGTACCACTAAGCTACATTAGATGACAAATCAAAGGAATTTACAGGGCCTTCGAAAGACACGAAAAAAGGCCATTTTGTCAGTAAATATTGCTGGAAATTTAAAACACGCAGTTTACATGGATTTACGCTTGGGGAACCGGAGGAAGTTACTTAAAAAAAAAGTACGCCCGAGATCGGAAGTCATGGGCGGAACTGGGAAGGGCCGCACAGTGGATAATGTCAGGGCCGGATTTACCTACTTGCCGCCCATGGGCCGCCTTTATTTTGCCGCCCCTTCTCATTCCGTTTTGAAACACCGATACAAACCATCAAGTGAACGTGCCGGAAGAGGAGGGATGCATAAGACGCGTTTACTCGCGTTGGGCACATTTTTGGTGAAAGCCCTGTCAACACTAGTAAAAGTTCACGGAATTTTGCGCGAAAATAAAGTTCCGTAAACCTATCTCTGTGTGGACGAGGCCTTTCATTTATAAGAAAAGAACGAAAAAATTATGAAAGAATAAACATGAATGTGGTTTAATATTTTTAATTTCCGCCACCGCGTCAACCGCACTGTGTTTGGCGCAATGCGTGAAGTATCTCTACAGTCTTGTAGGCGCTATGCGTTTCACTTGCCGATCGCTGCTGACCGCACTACATTTGGCGCAATGCGTGAAGTATCTCTGCAGTCTTGTAGGCGCTATGCGTTTCACTTGCCGATCGCTGCTGACCGCACTACATTTGACGCAATGCGTGAAGTATTCATGGAGTCTTGTAGGCGCTAATATGTGTTTCATGCTGACCGGCGCGCCGAGGGCTTCTCCTTTCCATCTCAAGTCCTCGTCATTATTGCTCTCTGCGCCGCGCCGCTCCGGGCCAAATTGCGTGTTTGGATTCTCTCTCAACTTCTATCCCTTGTATCACCGAAAGACGAACAAATTAGAAATTACTATATTTTAACTCTCAGGGGAGGAGAGCTTTTTTCGCCTTTTCTCGTTTGTAATTTTTTTTCTGAATCATATTTTTTCTTGATACCTACATTTTTTTGAAAAAATTACATAATTTGCCGCCCCCCCCCCCTAAAGATTGCCGCTATGGGCCGCGGCCCATGTGGCCACCCCGTAATCCGGCCGTGGATAATGTGACAACACCCAAGTACCATAGTGCAATGAAAATATTGAATTTCGATTGCGATTAAATGCAATTTTTTAAGACGAAATTGCAATATTCTTACATAATATTTTGGTCAATAATTGCCGACTTTAAACCATCAACGACATGAGTTTCATGTGTCCGAAAGATCGATAGTTTACAATGCAATACTCGTAGATTTCAAAAATAGATACGCCTTCAATCAGTAGATAGGCAACACACACAACAATCAAATGCGGTTGCAATAATTTTACCGTGTAGCTGCAATTTATTGAAATCCCTGCTACTGGGTAATTCCTAATTGCAAAATGTAGATCCGTTGTAGGTCTTCACGCATGATGGTAAGTTTCTAAATAACGCAAAAGTTGAACGGGTTTCGTGTAAGATACAGTAGCGGCTCCCATTTTCGTTGTTGGAGATCTCTATAGGCTTGACGGGGTCGCTACCGCTCCTATAGTAATGAAACTAAGATGGTCCCATTCAAAGCTTGTCATTCGTCAGAGATGGCAGGTCCTTTGGCGGGTTGGACGAGGTGACCAACTATGAACAGCAGTTAACAAAAGATCGATGAGGCAATAGTGAAGTATAAAGAGTGGCAGTTGTTAATCCCATCAAAAGTAAATCGGTGGGAACATCAAAGTCAACCGGTCCAGAATTGCACGCGTCCGTGTCCATGCAGCTCTGCAGGCATCCCCGCACGTATCTAAAGAAAAATCAATTTTGTGTCAAGTAGTAAAGATATTTTGCGGGAAAAAGGAGTGGTTGTTGTATGATTATTTTATTTTATGAGAAGTAAAGGGGGTACAAAGAGCACGCAAGCTTGCTGCAAGATTGATCTTGACTCGGCGAAAGACTGCATGCAATCTTGCAGCAAGCCTGCTGCAAACTCATTGTTCCACCATTCATGAAAGACTAAGGCATTTTTGCGGTGAGATTGCAATCCAAATTTCTTAAGTAGCATAGCAGAACGAAAATACTTAAAGAATTTTGGAGTGCAATGAAATAAAATCGCATTTTTTTTTTATACCTACCATGAAATTGCAGAATTTTTCGTCATTCGGTAAAGAATTTCTCATTTTAAACGATTGATAAAGTAAGTTTCATTTGGACCGCGTTTAACAGAAAAAAACCTAGTCACATCAGCTATTGCCACATTTAACTGGATTCTTTTAAAAATTTTATGGAATTTGCTTCGTGCTATACCCAACTACCAAAAATTCACTGAAATTTGCACAAAAATCCGCACAAAGTGCACAACCGTTTTCATGTGAAAAATTAAGTTTCTTAGGTAAATTTGGCGGTAGCTGATGCGGCTTGGTTCCTTTCTGCTTTACGCGGTCCATTTGTGAAAAAGGTTGGAAAATTGCAATGCAAATTGAAGAATGCATCTTATATCAATTTTATTGCGATAAATTTTCATACGCGGATCCTTTCAATTAGTGACTGGAAAACATATACAACACATGAATAGAATTAACATTATTTTACCATGTAATAGCAATTTTTTGCAACCTGCGTTAACTTAGGCCTTAAACTTATTGCAACAGAAATTTTGAGAGACTAGAGCAAGTCTTCGGCAAGATTGCAATCAAAGTTTGAAGAGAGAATAAATTTCTGGATCGGTTAATTTCATGTTTTGAATATTAAGGCGTTGACTATTCCGCTGGCAACAAGGGATCAATCCAAACACACGCCGATACTTAGGCGCCGTCGGGGAAAATGCGGACGTTACATAGAATTGCTTGTTTACAAAACCATTAGAAACAGATTAATCAAAGCCGTTGAAAGACGCGCAGACATTGATCTCGGACATTGGGCGTGTTTATGGGGTGAGGAAAAGAGGCAAAGCTATGCTTCGACGCAACCAGCACACGGTGGCTGGAATTCGGATTGGATCACTCTAATATCAAAATTTGAAACAGAATAGGTGATTGGGTGATTATTTTGATAGGTGAAACCGAAAAATGTGTCCCCCCTTTTCTATCAGTCACCGTGAGCTCTCTCTGAAAAATTTTCATCACAAAATAGATCAGACTTTTCACTTTTAGTTCTTTCAGCCGTGGCCGGATTTACCTACTTGCCGCCCATGGGCCGCCTGTATTTTGCCGCCTCCTCTCATTCCTTTTGAAACATCAATAAAAACCATCAAGTGAACGTGCCGGAGGGGGAGGGGTGCATAAGACGCATTTACCTGCTAGTGTTGGATACATTTCAAAAGTCGCAAAATTTCACGGAACTTGTCGCGAAAGTTAAGTTCCTAACATATCGTCGTTAACCTATCTCTGTGTGGACAAGGTACTCCATTTATAAGAAATGAACCGAAAAATTATGAAAGAACAAACATAAATAGGATTTAATAATTTTAACTTCCGCCGCCGCCGTGCCGCGCTGACCACATTGTGTTTGGCGCAATGCGTGAAGTATTCATGTAGTCTAAGGCACTGTGCGTTTCACGCCGCGCCGACTGCTGTTGACCGTACTGTGTTTGACGCAATGTGTGAAGTATTCATGCAGTTTCGTAGGCGCTAATATGTGTTACATGCCGACCGCCGCGTCGAGGGCTTCTCCTTTTCATCTCAAGTCCTCGTCATCATTTCTCTTTGCGCCGCGCCGCTCCAGGCCAAATTACGTGTTTGGTTTCTCTCTTAATAAACTACTAATTAAACTAATTAAACTAATTAACTCAAACTAATTAACCCTTACCTGCACACATTATGGGTTTCGAAATTTTTTTTGAAATTTCGAGTTTTCTAAGGCCTGTTGGGTCTAGATAACTCAAAATTAGTGAAAAAAAATTTTTTTGACTTTTTTTTACCCGGAACTTTTGACAAAAAAGGGTGGTCAGTATGACTGACCACTGAACAGGATAGGAATACGCAAATTTCCTATTCACCTATGTGGATATAATTTTCGTGTTTTTTTTTATTTTTGTGTAAAAAATGATCCTTGTCTCTACCTATCCGCGCAAGACATTCAATTTCTGCCCTCCAAGCCCCCAACCCTTCCCTCGCAGACCTCCCCTTACCTTCCATACTAACTTTACCAGTGAATTATAAATGTTGACTCCGTAGATTTTGTAAGTTTTTCACTTTTTCTTACATGTTTGTAAGTGATAGAGTCTCTGTTTTTGGAAATTGAGTGAAGCTAGTCTTAGAAAAATGTATAATTTATTATAAAAGAGTATAAATAAAGCAGAAATATATAAAACTGCTTGAAGTGAAGAACATATGAGCGTAACTGGAATAAGTAAGGAGGCAATCAAAGACTAGTCACAATAAAATAAATTCATTCCTTCAAAATGCAACGATATAATGGTCCTTTCCCACATAAGACTAGCAATTTTAAAATAATAATTTTGGTCAATAATTAAAAGTAATGAACATAATCATAAAAATTACTGATAAAATAATAATAAAAAATAAAGCAACAAGAATCCAGTTCCAGCTCCTATAGCCACCTGCACGGTGGTCAGTTATACTAACCACCATGTTCAAGCATGAATTAAATAATCAAAACTTCTGAATTTTTCAATTGCCAAATGACATTCTCGCAGCATTATAGTCTAACTTAATATTTTACTACTAAATCAGAACCATTTGCGTCGCACAAGCAACTGACAACCGCAAAACTGGAGATAACACCGGCGGCACCAAACCTCCAACGAATCGGAGGTAAACAATAGATGATAAAACAATATTGCCAACATAACATCGCCCGGCAATATTTTTTTTCATATTCTGGACCATATACCAAGTATAACTACATGGTTGGTAAGGGTATGTCGCGCCAAAACGGCCATGAATAATTATTTAAAAAGGTGGTCAGTATAACTGACCACTGAGCAGGTAAGGGTTTAAAGGTGCGCAGTCTTTTAAATCACCGAAATACGACAAAATTAGAAATTAATGAACTCTCAAAAAATGAGAGATTTTGTTACCTTTTCTTGTTTGTAATTTTTTTCTGAATCCGATTTTTTGGTACCTGCATTTAAAAAAATTGCAAAATTTGCCGCCATGGGCCGCGGCCCATGTGGCCACCCCCTTAATCCGGCCCTGCTTTCAGCCAAGAATTTTTACCTGTCATCGAAGTAAAAACCTCCACAATGTGACATCCTAATGAGCTCCGTGTCTGTGGTTAAAGTGCCACTGTCCAGCGCGCAGTGTCTAACCGTGATGTGATCTCCGGTGTCATCTAGAATGAGAAATTCAAATATTACACTGATTCAGAGTTGGACTGGCGTAAAAAAAGTTAGGCAGCTACTAGGATTTTGGGGCCCCTGACGTAAAAACTGGGCCCCTATGGGGGGTCTGGGGGGTCGCCCCCCGGGGATGGGGGGGGTCCGGGGGTCCTTCCCCGGAAAATTTTGAAAATNCGGCTTCTGTAATCCTGACCGGCCTCTTAATTGCATTGTACCGAATCAAAATTTCAACTCACAGTTTTTTTTTCGTCAACAGGTGTAACAGTGTTTGTTTAACACCGAGCGATTTTCGAACAATTATAAAAGATAATTGCCCAGAAAAGTCGAAAAGATACCCGCAGGTTCTAGTGTAGGTAAATGAATAAATAGTCAGTTTAAACTGTGCAAAATTGCAATGTACAATGAAGCCTCTCTGGCATTCCTCAAATCAACTCCCCTCAAGCTCATGAAAATATCTTACAGTTGAGGCCAGGGCCGGATTTACCCACTTGCCGCCCATGGGCCGCCTGTATTTTGCCGCCCCCTTCTCATTCGTTTTGCAACATCAATAAAAACCATCAAGTGAACGTGCCGGAGGGGGGAGCGGTGCATGAGACGCGTTTACCTACTCGTGTTGGATACATTTGTTGCGAAAGCCCTGTCAACACTACTAGCAAAATTTCACGGAACTTTGCGCGAAAGTTGAGTTCCGTAAACCTATCTCTATGTGGACAAGGCCTTCCATTCATAAGAAATGAACCAAAAAATTATGAAAGAACAAACATAATGGTTTAATAATTTTAACTTCCGCCGCTGCGCCGCGCTGATCGCACTGTGATTGGCGCAATGCGTGAAGTATTCCTGCAGTCTTGTAGGCGCTATACGTCTCACGCCAACCGCTCCTGACCGCACCGTGTTTGGCGCAATGGGTGAAGTATTTATGCAGTCTTGTAGGCGCTAATATGTGTTACATGCCGATCGCCGCGCCTAGGGCTTGTCTTTTTCATCTCAAGTCCTCGTCATCATTCCTCTCTGCGTTGAGCTCCAGGCCAAATTGCGTGTTTAGTTCCTCTCTTCACTCTACTAAAAACGGCAAAATTAGAAATGACTATACTCTCAGGAAAGAGAGATTTCGTCCCCTTCTCTCATTGATAATTTTTTTTTTCCGAATCCGATTTTTTTATACCTACATTAAAAAAAATTGCAAAATTTGCCGCTCCCTAAATTTGCCGCCATTGGCCGCGGTCCATGTGGCCACCCCTTTAATCTAGCCCTGGTTGAGACTACACTTTCAATGCAATATCCCTCGTGCATCCGACTCCATATTTTATCAAATTTTCTGTACATTAAGAAGGGCAGTGAAAGAACTACATATCCTTTTAAGCTTCCGATCAAATCCGGTGGGTAGGGTAGTATTAGGTAGGTGTTGTTAAGGTCGACATGATGTTTCGGTCTCTCTGCGAAAGAGCCTCCTTATTCGTTGCCTTTTTATTGGAATGGACCACTAGACAAGGTACGAATTTAAGCAATCTAATGCAAGTTTCTTAACCAGAATTTCACGTAGAACATGATTCGCACAACGATAATTACTGAAACCAACTCCTAACGAAGATATTAACGTTTTTATTTCACATTGGTTACGAGGAATTCGAACTGCCCGCTCACAAGAAACTCAAAGCTCTACGTGAGTCAAATCGCGCACTACAACGATTTCAGAAAGCTTCTCAATCGAGCAATGTTCATTTCCCACCATGTGTTGTTTAAACTAGAAGCAATTTACTGTAGCTGAGCCAAAGCGTCAAGATTGAGGTTACCAGACTTTTATATCGCAGAGAATGTCAGGATAATGTTTAGCGCGCGAAGTGAATCACGTAGAGCATTGAGTTTTAATGAGCGGGTGGTTTGAATTCACGCATTAAGAATCATTAAGTATCTTTGTAAGGAGTTGATTTCGGTGATTTTTGTTGTATGCATTGTGTTCTACGTAAAATTTTAGTTGTGAAACATGTATCAGAATGCTGAAATTCGTACCTTGTCTAGTGGTCCATTTTGTTTAAAAGTTGGTCTTATTTTCATGTGAAGGAAGTTCAACTTTAGGCCACTAGAATTTCGTCCAATGAGAGTAACGGCTGCAGGTCCTTAAAAACACCCAAAACTAGGTTTTGAATTTTCACTTTTCAAGTATGTCAAAAGGGTAATTTTTAGCTCGGAGTCGTAGCATCTTCAAGTAAGTCTCCTCTTTTTCAGTCCCACCTCTTCATAGATTATTCGACTGAATACGTGACTTCTCCATGATCACGTAATGCACAGGCATCATTGAGAGTCTTGTCGCGGGCTTTTGGAAGTTGGATATGGAGAAATGGAGTACACGAATGGTTGTGACCGGTGAAAATCCATTTTAAATCCACTTTATTCAAAGTACCTACCCTATGTAAAATGTGGTTGGATTCTGCAGAACCAGCCTGACTACATCACATGCTGCCTGATTTCCTGTCAATGTCCATATTTTGAGGAGGAATTCTAACTTGAAATTTTGTGAGTAGGTAAGTACATTTTGGATAATTTGGAGGGAATTCACAGCAAGTCGTCATGTTGTTTGGTTCTTTGTTAAGAAAAAAAAAAGAAAAAAAAAAAAAAACTGAAAAAACTGAAAAAAATATAAAACTGCTATTGATTACGTGTTTGGCAAGTTGTACGTAAATAAAACTTGTAAAGGAGTCGTAAATACTCCGAGTTCAAGAATTTCCCGTACAAAATTTGGTCACCAAATAGGTGAGAAGAGGTGATAAATAATTCTTACGTATTTTTTCTGCAATTACAAGTTTGCCAAGTGGCATTTAAAAGAAAAATTGTGAAGGGGTCGTCAATAGTCCGAGATTAAAAATTTTTCGTACAAAATTTTGTCACCAAATAGGTAAGAAGAGATGAGGCAGAATTGTTACGTATGTTTTGTAAAAAATACTACATAGGCACAAACTTTTTGGTCTATTTTACCAATCAACTACTAATTAATTTTTTAGTAATTATTTTTTCAGGTCTTTTTTACAGTGTCTTGTATCGTATATTTTACGTTATATGCTAGTAGAGGGACACTAAATTTCTCGCAACAAACGGCAAAAGTGCATGATACTCATCACTCCTCAACGAATGTCACTGTTTCATTATTAATGTAAAGTTGCGAGACAATGTGAGTGCTCCCTTTTCTCTTTTCAAGAGGGTGTAATGCTCGCCCATGTCTTAAACTTGAAATAGCTTTTTCGTAACTCTAAACACCCAAACTGAGTGCTGTAAGTTTAAATGAAACCTCCGTTGAACAGCACCACTGCCGTTTTAAGAAAGAACGCCGTATGAGCCTCCAGTCGTTGCCTAATTTCCCCCGAAAATACGAATTTTCAGAGAAACTTGTGAATATCATTATTCCAATTGTTTAAAGGATTTTAGTCGCAATTTAATCTAATGTATCTGAAAATTTCACGGAAGCCAAGGTAGCACAGTGCAACGAAAAATTGCAATTGACTTGCAATTAGATGTCAATAAAAATTTATTTTTTTTTACCATTAAATTGCAATATTTTTATATCATTTGGTCGATTTTAAACACTCAACGAAATGATAACCACGTGTCAGAAAGATAGGCAATATATAGTGCAACGAAACGTTGCAACGTATTTCAATTTTATTGCAATAAGTTTCCATAAATGGGGCCCCTTCGAACAGGAGCTAGGCAACTTACACAACACTCAGTGGAATTGCAATATTTTTACTATATAATTCGTCGTCTCCCGGACGAAAGAACGTAACTCCATTCCAAGGTTGCTAAATTGACTCAAACAATTCAATATTTAACAAGAGTAGACCTATGCAATTTTTGTCGAAAATTGGTCTGATTTTCGCATGAAACCAGAGGAAAAATCAGTGAATTTTTCAGTCAGAAATGCCCAAAATTCTCCTGGTAAAAATGCAATCTGCGCAAGGAAATTTGGCAACATTGAAATGCAGTTACGTTCCTTCGTGCGGGAAACAACGAATTGCTACTTATTGCAATCTGTGCTACTCGGGAAGATGTTCGTAAATTTCCTCAAAAATAAATATTTTATCCCGAAAAATCTGGCAATCTACGAATGATCTTACGGCGTTTTTCCTTAGCATGGCATAGCACACCAAGTATGTGTGATGAAACGATCAGGCGCCGGGAGGACGCTTCTATGCTCCATTTTTCCCTTCATTATTTTTTCATTTCTTTCTCCCCCGAAAGATTTAATAAGAGGAGAGGGGGAAAACGGGGGTGACTTAAATTGGAAACGGCATCGCAGTGTGCCTACATTTTGCCAAGTGCCATGTTCCTTGATGGATCTGTTGCCATCGGGCCCTAGTCTTCAACCTCAACTGATCCATCAGTAACTCTCGGGAGTTTTTTCGTGGACGCATCAGAGTGAGAAGCCAGAATTTCAAATATCTCTTCAAAGTGTAACATTGTGTACACAGAAGGTGAATTTTTCTGGCGCTACTGTATACAAACATGTAATTAAATGATAAAAATAAATTTCATACATCAACAAACTCGAAAAAAAAATGAAAGAACCAGAGGCGGATTCAGCAATTTGGCAACATCGGATTCCTCCATTTAAACCTATGCTAAATAATCGATTCTTGTCGGAGCACCTGGCCCCTCCAAGAATCGATACATTTCCATAGGTTTAAATGGAGGAAATCCGGTGTTGCCAAATTGCTGGATCCGCCAATGGAAAGAACAAAGGAGGGGTATCCTGCCGTGCCAAGGAGAACGCCGTATGAACATTCGAGAGTTGCCAAATTTATTCCTATATAATGTTTAGTTTCGTGGAAAAATTCGAATTTTTCTCCTTGATATTTCCAGAAACTTTAGAAGAAATTGCAATCAAATTTACATGAAAAATTGAAAGAAAAATACTGATAAGATTACGATTGAAGAAATTGGCTCAGTTGAAAAATAATTGAAAATTCGTAGTTTATGACTGTTTGAGGATCTACTTTATTTAACTAACTGACAGAGAAACAGGAACGTTGGAGGGAAAGGCCGGAATTTGTTTTTAAACCGTAATGCAGAAGTGACGAGACTCGTAAAACAGCGTATTAAAATTTCACAGCCCTGACACTCCTCTTTGCTGGAAACTTTTTTTTTTATTTATTTATTTATCTGGCGGTTTTCTTATTAAACTTCAGGATCCCCTGACGTTTATTATTTTTTATGTGAACGATGAACCGTTTTAGGCCCGTTGCTTTTCTGAAAAAGCTTCAAAGCAAATCGTTCCGCTGACGTCCTTGGTGAAAGCTTTTAGCTTTGGCTTGAGCTCTTATCTGCGGTAAATTATCACTGTTAGCCTCATCATAAGTCATTTTCTCGAAGCGTAAGCGTTTATATCCTTCCGAAGAGGGCGTGCTTTTCGAGGGAACATTAGAGGGTGTCCAACGGTGCGACTGTCTCTGACTCGCGAATGGATCTTATACAGACTATGAATAATGTCCGTGAGCTCCAACATCGAGTAACCCTTGCGTACAACTTTTGAAAAATAGAGTTAAAATAAAATAACCGAAGCCGTATCAATTACACGTCAGGGCTTTTCAGTCTTTAGAACTCCTGCTAGGTCGAGTGTTTTTTCTAGCACGATAACTGACGCGCATATTTATGCGATGAAGTCAGCATTAGATTGAGATCATTTAAAAAGTTTGTTTTAAAATAACTTAAAATATTTAAATGTTTTTTTTAATGTAACTGTTTAAGAACCCTTTTAAGTTTAAAATTTATATGATATTTTTTCCTACGAACTTCCATGTATCTCCATGTCACTCTGCAGAGGCGGATCCAGCAATTTAGCAACACCGGATTTCCTCCATTTAAACCTATGCTAAATAATCCGCCAATGTTACTCTGTAAAAATATATTTTAAAATGATTAACAAATGATTTTTAAAACTTCTAATATATTTTAATGAGATCTCAACATTTTTAAAATGTTTTTAAAATGATAAAAAATTACTTTAACACAAATTAAAAGCGCATTAATGTCAATGTGACTCATCTCTTCAGACATTTCAGACTCGCCCTGGTAAAAATTGGCGATAGGAGCTGCGTTTCAAAATACCATAGGAGTTCTTATAGCCAACAAAAGAAGGCTATTGAAAATCATATAGCTGGCTGTAGAAAGCGGAGCGAATCATACAGCCGGGCTATACGAAGCTATAAAAAAGTATACAGTCGGGCTATAGTTCCTATCGCCGGGCTTTACACTTTATCGCCATTGGCTATAAAAGGCTATAAGAAATTGTGTAGAAATTCGTGTGCTTTGGAAATCATTAAGTTTGATACGGAACTACCTTAATATTTACAAAACGCACATTATATTTTCCTTTAAAACATATTTTTTTTTCATCAATTAAAATGAGAACAGTCCATACATAGTGTGCAAACATTTCGGAGTCATGAGTTGAAAAACGCTGACTCCGCGAAATTAAATATTAGAGCCTAACACAAAGCGGAGCGGCGGCGCACCGGCGCCTACAAACCTAACAGGGATACTTCATGCATTGCGCAATGCGTGAAGTATCCCTGTTAGGTTTGTAGGCGCCAATGCGCCTTTCGCGCTGGCTGCCCGCCCGCCGCGCCGCGCCGCAGCGTACCACGGCGCTTGAAGCAACTATTTCACACCAGAGGTATTGCACAGTATCATAAGAAATTGAAGGCGCTCCAACATGTTAAGAATGACAGGCATCCTTCAAAAGTACGGAGCTTTCCTCGCAAAATCAATCAAGATACTACGGCACAAAAAGAGAGCGGTAGTCCAAAAACTAACTAAGTCCTGGTATCCGTATTTAGTGACGTTTAGTATAAACTTTATCGTCTGGCTGTTGCTTAATCGCCATCGGCTATAAAAGGCTATAAGAAATTGTACAGCCGGCTACAGAAGCTATTGGAAATCTTACAGCCGGCTTTAGGTCTATGGTATTTTGGAACACAGATTCTACTGCCAATTTTTATCAGGGCGTTTTTGAAATATTTTAGATTTTTCTCGGTTTCGAAGAAACATCTGCGCGAAACATTTTATCCCTCTCGGGAATATTTTACAGAAATATTTTGAGGATTGAATGAATTTTATTCAATCAACCAAACGAACCACAAAACGTACCGTAGTATCCAGTCATCTTAATACAAGCCGTGGCCGGAAATACGCCATTGCGCCCTTTCCTTCCGCCCATGCAGGGTGACTCCAAGATGTCAAGAGTGTAGTTGTTGTGAAACGGATCGTCGCAAGCCGGGTTGTCCCAGTTCACGGAGACGCACTTGAAACAATCTATGTTTGCCGCCCCTGCAACATGAAATGTTCCGCAGATTCTTGGCGATCTTATAAAATAAACATGCGACAGATAACCATTCAAGCTCCGCGGTATGTTTGTTGCCTATGTGGTGAAATTGAAGGCGAATCTTAAGTGAACGATAACTGGCGCACAGGTTTATGGGCTCTCTATTGGTTTTATATCAATCTTTTAAAGCTACTTAAATAGGAGATTTCATATGCTTTATTTATGCTCACGGGAAGATTTTGTCGCCAATGCACTGATATTAAAGGCGAACTTTTAACGGAAAATATTTACCCACAGACATCTTCGTTGGTCAGACAAAGCATGCAGTGGGATGTCTGTATGTTTTTTTAAAAAAAGCTTACTTTTCATGCTTTCCACTGCATTTTTAGAGCCCCTCCCTCTCTTTCAGAGAAAAACCCCAAAAAATTATTTCTTATTTATTTAAAATAAATTTTATTCTTAAAGTGAGATACTAACGTAAGAAAAAAGGAGTCGTTCAAGTAAGGCATAACATACTTGAGAGGGAGGGGGGCGGAGTTCGAGCCACTGGATTTTGCGAAAGGAAGGGGGCAGGTGGCAGAACAAGTCGACGGTGTAAATTGGCAATCACATAACTCGGTTTGTGACGTCGCAGACTTCCTATCATACTTTATTTTTTTAAACGGAAAACTACTCAACGACAATTCTTTAAAACTGTCGTAATTTTTCTTCTCTGTAAGAAGAAAATTCTGCAAAAACTTCAAGGAATGATGTCCATTTGTTCTCCTTCAAAAAAATATTATAGAGGCGGAGATTTTCAGACACCGCAAACGAGTTATGTGATTGCCGACTTACATCGTCGAAGTCTTCCCTTCTCACTCAAAGGAAAAATTCTATTCCCCGACAAAAATAATTTTTCCGAGACGCAAGAAGGCAATTTTCTTTCGAGGTTCGAATTGCGTGCTCTGTCCGACAACACGCGTCGGATTTAAATAATAAAAGCGAGCTGGATACGGCCACGGTTCTGACACGGTGGGGAACCTGAGGGAAGAGAGCTTTGTGGCGACTAAGTCTCTTGCCTGGGAATCTTGTTAAGTTGGGCTCTGGCTCGGACTGAATGACTGTCTGCTGTATCCTCTTGCGAGTTGAGAATCATCCGGATTCACAGGCTTGTCACATGGGGTGGAACCGGGACGGGGCGCGAAGGGATGACGGGGGTGAGTGTGGCAGCGGCGCCCTCGACCGCGCCGCGAGGACGTGATGCCGAAGCCAGGGTCGGAGCTCGGCTCAGGATAAGATGCCTCGTGAGAGTAGAGTCGAGAGGCCGCCTCAACCTTTCGTGCTTCTCAACCTTTGAGCCCGGGGTTGTCAGCCTATGCAGGAGATTGACACCCGGATATCTTCTTTTATCCTCGCGCCGGTGAGAAATCCAGCTGCCGGGAAACCGCCTCGTCCGTGATTCATCCTCAGCGTCCTGATTATTGAAATTTATAAACAGAGCGATAGACAAATGAGACATAGTCGAGAGGCCGCCTCAACCTTTCGTGCTTCTCAACCTTTGAGCCCGAGGTCGTACCCGGATATCTTCTTTTATTTTCAAGCCGGTGAGAAATCGAGCTGCCGGGAAACCGCCTCGTCCGTGATTCATCCTCAGCGTCCTGATTATTGAAATGTATAGATAGAGTTATAGACAAAGCAGACATAGTCGAGAGGCCGCCTCAACCTTTCGTGCTTCTCAACCTTTGAGCCCGGGGTTGTCAGCCTACGCAGGAGATTGACACCCGGATATCTTCTTTTATCCTCGCGTCGGTGAGAAATCCAGCTGCCGGGAAACCGCCTCGTCCGTGATTCATCCTCAGCGTCCTGATTATTGAAATTTATAAACAGAGCGATAGACAAATGAGACATAGTCGAGAGGCCGCCTCAACCTTTCGTGCTTCTCAACCTTTGAGCCCGAGGTCGTACCCGGATATCTTCTTTTATTTTCAAGCCGGTGAGAAATCGAGCTGCCGGGAAACCGCCTCGTCCGAGATTCATCCTCAGCGTCCTGATTATTGAAATTTACAGACAGAGCTATAGACATAGAAGACATAGTCGAGAGGCCGCCTCAACCTTTCGTGCTTCTCAACCTTTGAGCCCGGGGTTGTCAGCCTATGCAGGAGATTGACACCCGGATATCTTCTTTTATCTTCGCGCCGGTGAGAAATTGAGCTGCCGGGAACCCGCCTCGTCCAGGATTTATCATCAGCGTGCTGATTATTGAAATGTATAGACAGAGCTATAGACAAAGGAGACATAGGAGGTATGGAGCGATCCTATTGCGATCCTAGAGGCCTCCTCAACCTTTCGTGCTTCTCAACCTTTGAGCCCGAGGTCGTCCTCGTCAGCCTATGCGAGAGATTGACACCCGGATATCTTCTTTTATCTTCGCACCGTTGAGAAATCGAGCTGCCGGGAAACCGCCTCGTCCGAGATTCATCCTCAGCGTACTGATTATTGAAATTTATAGACAGAGCGATAGACAAAGAAGACTTAAGAGTATGGAGGATGCTTGGTTGAAATGGGTGGTTCTCATAGACCAGGGAGGAAACGATGGACTTACCGCAGGGTCTCTCGTGGGTTGCCGTTAGTTAGTCTATTATCTACCTCCTGTGTCCACTGCAACCACCCGCTTCCACCAATAGGATCCCTCCGGAACCCTTTTGTCTTCTATGTCTAAAGCTTTGTCTATCGATTTCAATAATCGGCCCGCAGGTCCCGGTACCTGTACCCTGTATTCAGCTGGTACCCTCGGCTGATTATTGATTTCGGTAGACGAAGCCATAGCTGTTTTCCTGGCGGCCAGGAGTTTAGGGTGGGTTGTTCATTGACGCTTCTGCATGACCGCGAGAGAAACGGTCCGGTTGGCCTCGGTCGCCTGGGGATCTCCCAAGGAGAACCATCAGCCCTTGTAGCTGGAGGGTGGGGTGGGGGGAGGGGCTGCAGAGATCACTAGTGGGGGCAGGCAGACCCTATTTGTGCGCTGCTGAACGACGAGCATGTCTATCATCCCGTGTTCGTTGGTTGTATGGGTGGCTCCAATCTCCGCTCTGGCTAGCCACTAGGAGCTGGCAGGGGCTGATCTAATCCACCATCGTAAAATAACATTCGCTTCTGGTGGGATACGAAATTTTCCGTTTACCGTTGAAGAATCGTATCAGCCAATCTGTAGTATTTATATCTTTGGCGAAAACGGTGATTTGAAAGTTCGATTTCTACCCAACATGTTTACGGATGTTTCTCTGGTCCGATGAGAATGGTTAGGTGGAAACACGTTGACACGTTGAAAAGTGTGAAGACAGGAAATTTTGACTTGTTCGAAACTCATGTGAATCGTGAGTGACGCCATCCACCGCATCAGTGCACTCGTTATAGCACTCTACGTTATTAAATTATCTAGGTCTGTTTCTCCGTGCGCGATAGGCAATACACACAGCTTTGGAGTTGGTCAAAAGCGGCAACAGTAGTGCAGTGACAGACCCCTCTCAACGTGAACAACGAAGCAATTGACTTGCGAGGATGTTACCCCTGCTCTCAGCCACAGCTCAAGACACGCAACAATTATTCTGCCCTGCTAAGGAAAAACGACGCATGAATTTCGAACGTTGCCGAATTTCTGCGGATAAAACACGCATTTTAGAGGAAAGGTATGAATTTTTTTCTATGAATTTTTTAGATACTTTAGGGTAAAATGGGAACAAAATTGCCTGAAAAATATAAAGGAAAATATCCACAATTTTTTGATTAAATTCGGTTTTTATTGAAGGAAATATGGCAACGTCTGAAGGCTCATACGGCGTATTTCCTTGGCACAACAGTATTACGGTATTAAACAGAGCATGGAAAAAGTCCTCGGGCCGTCTCTAGGGCGCTCATGCGTCTTTCTTTTCGTCTCGTCAAAATATTCAGTTAAAGAACTAACCATGGACACGCTTTTTAGAAACGAGGAACTTTGCTGTACCGCAAACAGAACCATAACTAAATAACGACCCTGTAAAATTTTGACAATTATTTCTGCACCAGAATTTCCCCTTTTAAAATTGTTATGATTGAAAGATAGCATCAGCAGTGGTGGACGGAAGATCAGAAATTATTTTCACCAACGAGGAAAGTGCCTTAAACTGCGCTACTATTAAGACAGCAACTAATTTCCCAGTTTATTGTGAAATAGGATAAACACTGATTTCGATTCGATAATGAGATAAATTACAATAACTAAATGCGGAAAATAAATATCTCAATTACAACGTTTAAAACTCTCCTTTTATTTTTGATATTTCTCTAGAAAAACTAATCAAATTCTTCCTTGCAATTTTGTGGGTGTGTGTTTTTTAGGATGAGTTAGAAAAATTCACAACAAACGGCGTAATCTTGTCTTCAGTTTTTCTTTACATGAGTACAGCTTGAGCAGATCAATCTGAGGTACATCTTTTCCGAACTAAGCCATCAATAATATATAAATAAAGTATTTTTCGTGCATACCCGTATGGATAGCTGATAAAAACGCCACAAATGCAGTTAAGAGCTCCACCGTTTCACTCAAAAGTAACATCGCATCATCTGCAATCAAGAAAAAATAATATGAGTGCATTTAAAGGCATGTCTAGGTTTTGAAAAATAATGTGCTTGACATGCGCTGCGCTCTAACCACAACATCGGCAGATTGAGGCGCTCTGTCTCATGGCGCCTTCAAAATAGCTCGATGCCCCGCAATACATACGTGTTCAAATAGTTGCTCGTTCCACGTTCAGAGTTGCAAGTTATCCCTGTTAGATGAACAGTCTAGGAAGAGAAGTACAAAAACTAAATTTCTTCGACAACGCATGCATACGTAGACTTTTTTAATTAAAATGTTCATGTAAAGCGAAATTTGACCTTCATTACGTACACGGGAAATGTGTAATTTAAATAAAGTAGGATTTTTGAAATAAATATACTTTGAATCTCTTTTTGTATCTAAAGGCTGACCCTGAGTGCAACTTTGTTAGGGAAAGGATTATATCTTGCAACATAAAATGTGACTGATGTTAAAATATGGCTAATTCCTTAATTGCCACCGGAAATTAGGTGAAAATGTCTTCCTCTCAATTAGCGTTTAAAAAAAAGAGAGGTAAAACGTATTGATAGGTTAAAGCTCTCCAAAATTCATTGCTCACAATAAAGTGAGCTTTTGAGAAATAATATCATAACTCTCCGAAACTTGATAAAGTGTCAGAGGTCGTTGCAAGTCGGCGAGTGATGGGGAGAGAAAACATAATTACGTAGTGAGAAAAACGGCGGATATTGACAAACGCTGGCAGAATTTTTAATGTGACTCCAACATCCAACGATAAATTTAAGCCATACTGTATATTGCATGTATCGCAGAACAGGTAGCTTGAAGGCTTCCTTCCTTTCTGGTATTTTCAGCTCAGTCGATCGAAGAAAATCGAGATGTCTGGTCCGGAGATCGCAAAATTTATTTTCGTGGCTGGTTTACGACATTCCTGGATTATTAAAAACGCACGCTCCTATTGAGTCGCTTCCATTCATCTTCCGTGATTTCCACGGGAGATCTAAATATTTTAGTATGGAAGACGGGTGCATGCTTTATATCCGCCTCCTTCGCTCAAGGTTCACTGGTCTTGGGACGTGGAACACAAAATGCTTGGTTTAAGTGAGTTTGACATACTTTCAGTCAAAATTTCTGCACATCTTATAACTTTTTTAATCACATAAAATGAGAAGAGAAGAGAGAGAATGTGACCATCATAATTTTCGTGTCATTTAACCTCTAAAAAGTCTATTCGCACGGCTGTATCTCTTGCATGCAACAGGCCCATTCTGTTGTCGAAGTTCAATTGGTAAATTGACAGAAAGTATAGTACGTGGGGATAGTATCTAGGGGACGAAAACTTGTCGGAAAAACGAAAAGAATTCACCTAAGATTGCGGGAGCCCAAGTGACAATTTTATGTGACAATTCGGACGAAGTAATTTCGCAGGAGGAATCTAATTGTTTCGAGGACTCAGAATTGACAATTAATAAACATGTTATAGATACATTCAACGATGATCTAGAAAACTCTAAAAAATAAAAAAAATTGGGGGAAAAATGAACGGAATGATTACAAATGATTAACAGAGATAGAGATCAGAAAAAGAGCGCGCATTGAGAAACTACGTTTTCACCTTTGGTACGCCGCAAAGGCGCGTTGCTTCATATTTTGCGTGCCTGACTTGAGAAATACAACACGCAACATCATTACTTTTTTTTTATCGCCCCCACACGAGAAAGGTAGCGCAAGATTTTTATTAAGTTCACGAAGCTATTAAATTATTTCCAGGTTTCGGGGCCAGGTTTGTCGCCTCTCTTTAGATTTCGTTGTAAGCACACCCAGCGAGCAAATTACGTTGAAGGCAAATCCATTAACCGCGAACAGTGCACCTGAAGTGACTCACTTTGAAGTTTGAATGTACATAAGAAATTCACGTTGGAGTAGTAGGATACCTCCCCCCCCCCCCCCCCCCNGAAAGGTCTTCGGCAAATTGCAAAGTAGATCAGCAGAGCTCCTCAAAAAATAATTGCATTTTAATGGTTTTTTAGGGGTAAAATAGCAAAATTAACCCTGAGGTGACAGCTAAGGTGCCAAAATACTTACGATGCACAATTTACAATAAAAAAAAATAAACACCACACTGCTTAAATCATGTCCAGTAAGAAAATAAATAATGAAAAATACAAATACAATTTAGAAAAAAATGATGACAAAGTTCTAATTAAGAATGTTCCATTCTTCACAGTCAACTCCTTTTCTTATTTCCCCTTCTTTTACGAAAAAACTAATAAATAAGTAAAGAGCCATGCTAATGTAATCAGAGTAAGAATCTTGAGACGTCATTAAAACATACTAATGGATATTATGAATTGGTATCCGATTGAATATGATGGGAAATTCGCATTGTCACAGAGCGAGAAATACCTAAAAGTTATCTTCCGCATCTGCGATAGTAGGACATGCATGTAAAATGCAGCAATTTGTATTTGCTTATAGCCTCGTTGTAACACGCCATTCTAGCTTATTCAAAAATAATTGTGTCTCTGGTATGGGGTGCACAGAGGTAAAATTATTGATCAACAAAGCACTGCGAACACTGTCCACGTTGTCAGGTAGATTTTTTATCACGTGATAAATCCGCAGAACCTGCGACGTATTGCACTTATTTATTTCAGGCAGGATTGGCAATCGTACTTTCGTGCATAATGCATTTCAACAGATATGGTCAACAGGCGACCCGCATCACGCGAAACCTGATCGAGCTTTGTCACTCACTTGAAAAGACGAATGGCTTTCTTCCGAGCTCCACTGGGAATTTCATTGTAGAAATGAGATAAAAACTCCAACCTGACCTTGTTAGTAAATATATTCATAAATGGAAATTCAGATCTCTCCTAGCTGTCCGTTCCTCGTACCAAACCAAAAAACAGGTTTATTTTAAAAACTTTTTATTTTAATTTTCAAGAAATACATTTTTAGCAAATATAAATGATTTCAAGCAATTTTAGAAAACAACTCGGGAATTCTTAGTTCTCATTTTATTGCTGTCCTTTTGACAACAAGAATATTCTTATGTTGACAAAGTTTCCTAGCGCTTATTTATGACAGAACATTAATGTAGATTGTTTCGGATACAGGGAATTTATTCTCAAGGCCAGTGGAGCACCCTCATTTGGTAATATGAATAAATTGTACGCGTCAAATTGCAAAAAAAGTCATTTGCGGATTAGTTTCACAAGTCTATACGATACAGAGCTCGGAAGAAAAAAAAGAGGACAAAAAACCGGGAATAATTGGTTCACGACCTCGCCAATTTTTTTTGTGACGATCTCTCAATTCTCTCATGTAAGATTAACCGGAATATTGATCGCTCGGAATTTTTTTTTTTATCTTCATTTATTGCGAGGCCAATATTTGCATTTTTTAAAAATTTATTAGGATTTTCTTCTTCATTTTATTGTTTGAGAAATCGAACAATTTTCTCAGGATTGGATCGTTTTCAAAACTGAAACTACCGCCGCACACAAACTTCCAACCGGGTGAAATGTCTTGTAAAAGTGTACAGTGACATTTTTACGTGATAAGGAACAAAAATGGCTCCCTATTTCGAACAGTTTCCCAAGATTTTTCTTTTTGAAGCTTTCGAGTATTTCAACAGTCAATGCCATTGGGGTTGTTCCATTTTCTCCTCAGTATTTTGGAGTGTATTTCATTTTGCGATGAGGAATAACTATTATTGGATAGACGTTGGAATAACGTATGTGTTATCACTCTCCTCATGCAAATGGGTGCTTTTATAGATAAGTTAAAAATATCAATTCTACATGGCAAAATGAAGTCCACTCATCGGACATGACGGCAAGGAATCTCTGAAAATTCTCAGCCGAGACACGAAAACTAAAATATTTCGCGAGAGGCACTCAAGAACACCGGAAGCTTATGTCCTTTGAGTCGAGTCGCTATATTAGAGGCGAATCATGGAGTTTTCCCATAACTATAAGCGTGGAATACCCAAATAATACGACGCACTTGGCAAGTCTGCTGACGTGGATAGCTCCGAGGTGGCGGGAAGGTATCACGCACGCTTAAAAATTTAGTGCCTAAAATTGCGATGGCAGGTGATTTCGCGTGTCCCTCCACATTGCTAAGCCCGCAGGAAGCAGCGCGGGGATTCAACCATCTCTTGAGATTTAAATGATGCAGAAATTGCAGCTTGCAAATATTGTGGCCCCTGCGTTTTCATGCAATTTTTACGGGTTCGGGAGCACTCAGCTCAGATCCGACTCAGCTACACCAAATATGAACGTCACTTTCTTGGCTGAGGGTGGGTCCAGTTAGAGTCCCTTTACACTGCGAGTAAAGACAATGCGAATCCATTTCTGATTGGTTTCCTTATTTTAGGCCTCCACAGTGTCACAAACAGGAATGAAGATTGCATTTGGGGTAGGGTAATAGTTGGGTAATAGGGTAACATTTTGTAGGTAGGATAATAGTTATTCGTTACCCCACAACTGGAATGGACCGGGAAATTGGGGGTGCGGCAAGGAACAATTAATGGAATGATAGAGGGAACGGAGATAGGAATTCGGGAATGGGTTGATCAAATATTACAAAAAACGTTAAATTTGTATGATCTTTATTGCCGTTTGTGAAATTCATGAGCCGCGTTGTCTTAACTCTCTTCCTAAAGGGACTCTGGGTCCAGTACGGGTGGGAAATATGGGGTATGCTCGTTAGTTCTCGGGCCGTAAGAGTGAATGGGAATTATAAAGCGCCAGTGACGTCAGCGGTGACGACGCGACGGTTGCGATCCGAGGAGCTGCGCGGTCTTGCACTCATGAGCCCTCTCCACAACGCTCTTGTCACATACCCACGGCTCATGAGTCCCGCATACAGTTGGCACATAGCTCTGTTTGGTGAATTTAAAAATCCCGCTTTTCCAATTTTTCAAAAGGAATCAAGCCAACTTTTACATTGTTTCTTATCCAGCTCACCACGAGCACACCTCATCTTTCCCACCCGCACATAGTTCTGTTTGGTAGTAATACATCCAATAAATTAACGCATTTTAATCATGGCGTTCCATTAGTGCAATGGACCGCAAGATGAGGTTAGGATTAGTTCACTAAAAATCAGACCGCGTTTAGCAGAGAGCCACATCAGTTATTGCCAATTTTAACTGAGCTATTGATTTTTTTTTTTTTTTTTTTTTTTTTTTTTTTTTTTTTTTTACAAGAGATCGTTTGTGCGGATTTTTTTTTTAAATTTTAAGGAATTTGCTACGTACTATCTGAAAAGTTCACTGAAATTTGCAACAAAAAACTCCGCACGACCTGTTTTATGTAGAAAATAAAATTGCCCAATTATTGGCAATTGCTGATGTATAGCTTGAGTCCTTTCTGCTTATTGCAGTCCAATTATATTTTCTCATTTACGGCAGAATACCGTAGATTTTTCACTTAAGTAGAACACGATGAAGACATTTTCACCTGTCGCCCCTTTGACGTGAGGGCGTATCGCAACATCCTCATGAGCCCAGTTTGACAAAAGAATCCATGCTCCCCGGGTCTCATGCGGAAACCCAGATACGCTCTTTGATCAGAGGAGCGATGATATTGAAAGCCTCTAAACTCAACGCACAAAAGAGAAAATAACAGTTTTCTCTCATGGATTGACACGGTCAATTTTTAATTCGTTTACACTGCCCCACGTTAAATTTTGAAGAGGAATCGTGTTCTGTGGCGTTTAATTTTTAACTATTGGCGCATAGCTGGTGGTCTCAGTGGAAATGCTGGAATTAATAGGATCTATCTCCATTGTGACTTGAGCCCTGGAACCCTAAAGAGCACATGCATGACAAGGCCCATGCACGGCATTCCACTTTGCTGAGGAAGAACGTCGCATGAACATTCGAGAGTTGCCAAATTTTCCTTGATAGAACATGTATTTATGAAGACATTCATGCATATTTTTCCTTTAAATTTTCAAATTTTTTAGATTACATTGCGTAAAAAATCGTCTGAAAATTTTAGAAAAAAATATTCACAATTTTCCCAGTCAAGTCGGTTTTTATCGAAGGAAACTTGGCAACGTCTGACGGCTCGTACGACGTTCTTCCTTAATATAAGATATTTTATTTTATTAATTTTATTACGTCCAATTATTATGGTAGCCGAAAGAGAGTCAACGCTGCTGGGAAGTTCAATTTTACATAATTTTTTTTTTCCAAAAAAGTTTCATGATTGTCTGGTGACTTCGAGTCCTGAACGCTTCACAGTTCTTTACTTCGTTTTCTAAGTAGATTTCTCTACGTCAATTTTTGATAGCTCCAGTGATTTTACTTCTCTGTGTGAAAATTCAGGCCATGGATTTGTATCGGCTCTCTTTGAAAAAATAAAATAAGAGCGTAAATTCTGAAACACAGCAATCGATATGGGCGTTTTTATTTACAGTTGATATGGTAAAGCCGGCCCTGCTGCTGATGCGCGTTGTCTAAAAAGTCAATTGAACCGAAGATCAAAATGGTTATTTATTCATCACTTACCTCTTGTCCGACTGCGATAGCTTTCACGAAGCTTCAACTTCTAGGAAAACCGCGAAATACATTTTTGCACTCAGTTCCTGCCTTGAGGGTACTGATATTCACTCGAAAATGGGCATTTTATGTTCTCAGCTTAAGAATATTGATGGGTTTTGGTTTAAAGAGTGTCTGTAGAGGAGAGCTGTCTTGAATGTGATGAGACCCTTTGAAACGTATATACTCTTCAAAATAACGCCAGCTATTGATGTTAGCTTTTTTTTACTTGGGGCACCGCGGTGGAATGAGACACAGATTTTTTAAAGTTGTCGGAACTTCACTGATTTAACTTTTAAATTACAGGAATCAGCACATATCCTGTGTGCGACTTTCCGTTTCGGTAATATAATTTTCATATACTTGCAATTAATTTAAAAAAAAAATCATCAGAAAATACATCGTTTTTGCTCTAAATACTGAGCGGGATTAACGCGTGAAATAATTGTTACCAATACAATTTATTTACTGGAAAAAAAAGTAGCTTGGATCTAAAGTCCATAGACTCTTGAAAACGATGACAAGAAAAAATACTCTTAATTCAATCGGATTTTTGCTTGGATCAACAGGAAATCCGCTTAAATTAAGAAGATTGGTTCTCAATTTAAGCAAAAATGCTATTGAATCAAAAGCATTTTTTCTTGTCATTGTTTTCAAGAGTCTGGACTCTAGATCCAAGCTACTTTTTTTTCGAAGTTTTTGTTTTTTTCAATTATTAACTATCAAGTATCTGATGATGTCATAGCCGCAACGCACCGTTACACACAAGAAATTCAGTGGTGTGGCGTGACCAAAAATAAAGGAAATACTGTCATCTAAATCAGGGTTTCTTTAGCTGTTCGTGCGTAAAGGATGTCTATGTATGTAGTATGAACGAAGGACTAAGGCCTCTGTCATTTTGGATTTTCGCACGATAACCTGCTGCTGCCGTGCCAAAGGGCAGCGTGATGATAGCAGTGTGGTGTGTGGTGGTGCCTGGAGAACCTAAACGCCTTCAATTCGGTGCGTATGCAACATGGACGTCCATGGAGCTCAAATAGTTGCATCAAGGCGTTTAATTGACTCAACTCTTTCCTCAGTGTATCTTTTAAATTTTTAGCACTAGGATATTAATTACCTTTATATTATATTCATTGAAAGAAGATAGATGGAGCAGTGCTTCCCTTGCTAACACGGACGCCGTGTCACTAAACAAATTAAAGGGTGCCCGTCAATCCGTCCTGAAGAAGTTTAATTGATGGAGAAGGTAAAAAGTAACTTGAAACATAAAAATGAGCCCTGATAATTAGCCCCGTTTAACGGGGATGCATCAAGTCGCATTTTGGGGGATAAAAATGTGTTAGGAGTAGTTTTGAATTAAACTAATCCTGAATCATCTCTGGTCGAAAATTTTAAGTCGAGAAAAACTATTTCAAACGTTAAAATCCCTGGAATCATTGACTTATTTTAGACTTTAAAGAAACGTAAACAATTATTGAAATGTACGAGCTGGGAAACCCTTTTTATTATTTTGTACGCAATTTTTTTTATGAAATTCCTGAAAAAATTCATTAAAAATGATTGCTATCAGCATTTTGTTGAATTCTAAAACTCACTCATATTGACATGAAACACAATATAACCCGAAAAACATGGGCCACGGAGCATATGCCCAATACCTCCATCGCTTTAAGCTAAAGGACTCTCCACTCTGCCCTTGCAATAAAAAAGAAATAGACTCACCTCATCATACATTCTTTGAATGTAAACATAACGAAGACTTACGAACCAAACTTGAAACAGAAACAAATCAAACTATTTCAACTCAAAACATCTTGGAAATTTTAACATCCTCAAAAGAAAATTGGAGAAGAGTACACCATTTTATTCGGGAAACTCTCATAAGGAAACAACGTCTTTTGAATGCAGACCAATCAACCAATGCCTCCCTCGAAGAGAAACCATATGGTAATGCCGAGGAAAATCAATCACAACATTAAACTAGAGTCTGAGGAACTCAAGATACAATTATTATTAACTTAGAAATCTAAGCTTCCATGGGACAGGGGGGAACTATAAGTAACAAATAACTGTATTATTTAGGAACTTTCTTTTAAAATGTAAACAAGGCCTTCGGGTGATATTCTGTTAAATATCATTCCACCCTGTAAATAAACATAATAAAAAAATTGATTTTCGTTTAAAAAAAAAAAAACCCGAAAAACATGCAAGAAATAAATCAACATTTTAGGTAGAGTTTACGTGGAAATTTTGTAAAAATTTACTTAAATAAATTGATAAACAGTTGTAAAGGTGCGGGGAGGCATTTTAACGTAAAAGGAACTAAAAGGATTTCCTAATTCGGATATTTAAACAGTTTTTTAAAAGAGTGTTTCCTTTTTGAAAATTAATTTTTTAACAGTCAATGCTGCTATGAATGAATTATTAAACTTTTTCCTTCATATTGATTTTTATGGAGAATTAAACTTCAAACCTCTTTTTCTCGGCCCAAACTTGTTGCGACTTGGTGCATCTCCGTTAAACTCGGTCCAAACATCGTAAGCACAAATGGCGCGAAAAGGAAAATGAAACGGGAGCGGATTTGTCACTTACATCAAAACCGAAAAATGAGAAATCCTGGTGAAATGAGGGTTGTGTGAATGAAAGTGCGGACTCGGAGCTAAAGGCACGGACTGAAAGTTGGATTACGATGATGAAGCGTGGAGATTCTAAGGCGGGTGAGGAGTTACCGCCGCGCGCCCAGTGAAAGGATACCGCGACTAAAGCAAAAATAGACCAAGTCGCGGAAAACTTTTAGCTCGCGGCTGCGGATGGCACGCACGCGCTGCCACCACACCGCCGCTCTGAGGAAAAACCCCGTATGGGCATTTAGCTGTTGACAAATGCCCCCCGACAAAATGTTTATTTTTAAGGAAAATTGTGCGTATTTTCCTTTGATATTCTCAGATATCTTAGATTAAACTGCACTGGAAAAAAAATTAAAAAAAAAAAAAAAAAAAAAAAAAAAAAAAAAAACACATTGTATCTAGAATCCAGACTCTTGAAAACATTGACAAGAAAAAGGACTCTTGATTCAAGCAGATTTAAGCTTAAATCAAAAGAAAATCCGCTCAAATTAAGAGGCTTGGTTCTTGATTTAAGCTGAAATCTGATTGAATCAAGAGTATTTTTTCTTGTCGATGTTTTTAGGAGTCTGGACTCTAGATCCAATGTGTTTTTTTTCCAGTGTGCAGAAAAAATTGCCTGCTAAAATTGTATGAAAAATATTCAGAACTTTCTGAGTAGATTCCAAGGAAATACAGCAACTTCTGAAATCTCATACGGCTCTTTTCATACATTACTAGGCTAAGGAAGAACGCCGTATATAAGCCTCCAGACGTGACCAAGTTTTCTTTGACAAAATACATTTTTTCGGGGAAATTTCCGAGTATTTTCCCCACATTATTTCTGAGGAAAATTGTGCGCATTTTTCCTTGGAACTCTCAGATACTTTAGATTGAACTGCGGGAAAAATTATTTGAAAAAATTGTATGAAAAATATTCAAAACTTGCTCAGTAAATGCAAAGGAAATATGGCAACTTGTCAAAGAGCATTAAGCGCTTTCCACATACTCCCGTGCAGCGGAGGAACGCCGTATGAGCCTTCAGACGTTACCAAATTTCCTTTGACAAAATATAAATCATTAGAAAAATTTCCAAGTATTCTTATTTCAATATTTTAGATGCCATTGTTTTTAATTTTATCTAAAACGTCTGAAAATTTCAAGGAAAAATCTTCATAACTTTCTTCAAAAATAAATGCCTCATAAGAGGAAATTTGGCAACAGTCGAATGCTCATGCGGCGTTTTTGCTTAGCACGGCAGTATAGAGCGCCCGATGTTTTCCTTTATTATATTCAAACGTGCGATAATTCCCAGTTTTATGTTTTAAATGTAAACAGAGAAGAACGCGACGAAACACTTTTTATGTTTTCCCAAGCTGGAGCCGAACCTCGCTCCTGGTCAAGCAAAGCGCCGCGCCGTGGCGGCAGTCCAAGCTAAATCAACAACTAATTAACGGAAACTGCTTTGAATGCCCCCTCCCCCCGCCCGGCACTCAAAATCACGAGAGTTCCTGAGTCTCACCCCCGTTTTGAATGAGGTTAAAATCTATTTCCCGCCTTTGGCGACTCGTATTTGGACGTATTCATGCTGAAAGGAACTATGTAACATGTTAACCCTATGCACGTATTTCCTTTTAGCATTAATGCGTCCGTTTATCGCATGGTGGAAGTTGCTCCGGGCTGGACGAATTTGAATGCTTCGCTCGATTCAGAAAGCTGTGAAATTGGAGACTAAATTTCGCACAAGTAGCGGACTGAAAAAAAAATATGGAAACAGTTCCGAAACCGACTGCAATAAAATTGCAATTTTTCAATGTGATATTGCAATAAATTTCTCATCGTTTCATCGATAAATGTCGATTTAAAATGATCGATGAAATGGGATCCACGTGTAAAAAGGTTAGGCAATGTGCAATACAAAAAAATTGCAACCTTTTTTAAATTGCCATATGTTTTAATAAGAGGTCAACCGGCAATAATTTTACCATGTAGGTAGTTGTAGATAATTGCAATTTGCGCAACTAGACATGCTAGAAAATGCTGCTATAAAATTAAAGAAGAAATCTGAATGAATTGAAAATTTCCAAAATAAGTAATTTTGTCTTGAATCAACCGGAAATCTCTTGGAAGTGACAGGTCGTACCCTTGAAATAACTCAAATACTGCTCGAAGGAAAGATATTCCCTGTTGATTCAATTAAAGAGTATTCTCATCCCGGAATTATAATTTTGAATTTCTCAATAGAATCAAATTTTACTACAAATGAGGGAATAACAGTTCAAGAATGAAAAACACTCACAGATGAAACTAGGACTCGTGTTTTTAAGCCTAGGGGAATAAAAGAAACAATTATCAACTTCTACCAATGTATATTAAATACATTTTTTATATTTATTTACTTAAATATATTTAAGTGCTATTTTTATTGGTACAGCACTTAGATTTTAATAGATATAATCCTCTTTACCTCTGCTTACTTATACTTTTTTTGTGAAATCCATCAAATTTTCTGGTGAGGACCAAGTAGATTTTGAGAAGGGTGGGAAAGGCCCCGTCCAGTTCCCCCTAGTTCTGCCCCTGTAGATCCTTTTATAAAATAACCGAATTACTAGGAAGTAATTAATTATTTAATCTTCTCTCCCTCTACATACTGAATTTTGCAGAGTACCTAGAAATTGCACGGAAGAAAAATGGAGGTGAAAAATCTTATGTCAGGATCGAAGAGGTTGGTTGTTAATTTTTAAAAGTTGGTTGTAATTTTTGGGAGCAGTTTCTACAGACACAGATTAGCATCTCCTGAGAAATAAAACACTAATTAAGTTTTACTTACATAAATTTATTTTATTTTCTTTTTTTATAAATTAATTTTTTTACATTTTTACAGTGCAAAGGTACAAATATTTACAATCTCTACATATAAGGGGACAAAATCACACTCTTTGTGGCTTGGAGAACCGAGAAATATCTGTAAGCCCAGACTTACTCTGAACCTAGCTTCCTTACCGTTTGCGTAATTGATACTATTTTGATCGAATCAGCATGAGAAGTTGGTACTTCCTGTTAAAAGAACACCAGTGTTAAAACGCATGTAACCGCAAAAATCATCATTTATATCCAATCGTATAGTTTCTCCTTTATTCATAGAAAAAAAATATAGTGAGCGGACCCACATAGACTTTTTGGATAAAGGCAATCCAAGTCCTGGTTGCATATACCATAGTACCATAGTCTTGCGTAATATTTATCTTAATGTTACAACGCTGTCGAAACTTAGAATACTTTCATCCAAAAGTCTCCCGAAATCCGACACTTGGCGGCATCAATCCTCTTTCACGACTTCGTTTCTCTTTTGATTTCCTTTCTAAATGGATTTCTTACTTCCTGGAACGAAAAATGAACAAACTTTTCGAAAAGAGTAAACCTCGATGTAAACATACAACTTATATAAATAGAAGAAAAGATTTCTGAAACGTTTCGCCACAAAAATTCACAAGAATCATAAACATCATACTATAGTTTATCTATGATCGATATTAATTGGGGAAACTTAACAATTCTGATTCGAGGTTTCAACGATATCTCACGGAATAGACCGGATTCAAGACTGAATTAAAATCTCACTGTGGTCGCCTATGTGTCACGCAAAAAGCATAGTCAACCGAAATAAAGTTGTAATATTCCTCTCAAACTTTTCAGCCGTTGATTAGAAAAAGTAATCAAACATCTCAAGCTGATTGCAGAGTATGGCAATGTGTGTAAAAATTATCCTAGAACGCTGGGTGAACGAATAAACAATTGAATATTTTGAGGGAAAGTTTAGGACGTCAGAAATAAAGTTAAAATATCAGATCTATGGTTCATTCTGAAAATGTCCGCAGATTTTTTGACAAAAACCTGCTTTAGGAGCTGCGTTTCAATGCAAGGTAGTACACAAATTCACCCACACGAAGTCTACTTCAAAGCTCTGATACCAAATCCAAAAGTTGAGTCTTTACGCATTTATGAATTTTGTTTCAAATTTTTAGAGATGTTTTACAGTACAGGCTCACATTAAGTATGTGATAAAAACTACGATTGAGATCATTTTCAGCTCATGCAGTATTTGCCTAAAGTTTAGGGAGAGTCTTGATCTTTACCAAAGACGAAACTGAATCAGCTTTGAGCCGACGGCTTTGAAAATTTGGAATGGAACTTCGTCTTTTTATGTCTGATTCAGATAGTTTGCTCACATTTATCATGTAAACTTAGGGCTACGGGTAACATTTTATGATAAATCAATCGTGAGTTTAATCGGTTTTGTTACTCGGTAGAAATCCTGAATTTTATACAAAGTCTGAGTATATCACATTTTAAAACAGCATCTGAGAGACAAAAAAAAACTGTACAAGCTACTTAATTGCGCATTTTATCTTTTGAATTGTACAACATGAAATACTGAATTTAACCTGGAGAACAACGATAAAAAATATAAGTCAAAAATAAAAATGTATTGAGCGAGTTGAAACTTTTACACCTTAGAAAGTATTCTATGCACTAACAAAACGTAACAACATAACCTTCAGGGTTCTCAGGTTGTCAAAACCTCGTGGCCGTCACGGTTTGTTTAGGGTAAGGTTTCAAAGTTTGACAGTGAACTTCATCGCAGAACTCCACTTTCCTGACCTGAGGAGAGAACATACAGAAAATTAAGTTAAGTTAAAAACTTCTGCCTTGAATGCTTTTGCTATGGGATGGTACAATGTATACATAACACATGCTGTAAATATACATTTTTATTGTAAAATGAATTTCCTCACGTCCATTGATTTTCTCTTTCTTCGATTTTTAGTGTCATTTTTGTAAAAATAACAAAAACGACAAAGAACCATTTTTACTTCATTTTAACCACTAAGGCATCGCTTAGGCACGAATAGTTTCTCTATAAAATAATCATGCTCAGCGTGTCGCGATATCAGGGCTGAAGCACGAACGATGCCGCCTGTGCGCAACTATTTGCGCCTGAGAGATGCCTATCAAGTTCAAATGCAGAATGAAGCACTAGACAAGGTAAGAATTTACGCATTCTGATACATGTTTCTCAACCAGAATTTCACGTAAAACACGATTCTTGCATCGAAAATTACTGAAATCAACTCCTAACTAAGATATTAACTTTTTAATTTTACATTGGTCACGGGAAATGTAAATTGCCCGGTCATAAGAGACGCATTACTGAGAGTCAAATCGCGCCCTACAACAGTTTTGGCAGACTTCTCAATTGAGCACTGTTCCTTTCCCACCCTTTATTGTTCTGAGTGTAAACAATTTGCTATAGCTGAGCCGAAGCGTCAAGATTGAAGTTGTCATATTTTCACATGGCAGAGAGAGCCACTGTAACTTTTAGTGTGAGATTTGATTCACAGGTATACCATTGAGTTTCCATGAGCGGGACGTTTAAATTCACGGTCAAGAAACATTAAATATCTTGGTCACGAGTTAATGTCAGTACTTTTCGTTGCTGGATTTGAGTTCTACGTGAAATTTTGATTCAGAAACATGTATGAGAATGCTTAACTTCGTACCTTGTCTATTCGTCCATTGAAGGCAATTTGTCATTTTGGGCCCCGCAATCCAGCTCACCCTGCGGCCATGCAGCGCGGATGAAGCGGTAGTGCCCGGAAAGTCAAAACGCCTTCAATTCAGTGTGTATGCAACACGGGCATCCGTAAAGCTCGAATAGTTGCATCCAGGAGTTATAATGAAATCTGTCTAGCAGTCGTCGCATGCGATACTAACTGAGGACGCTCTCCTTATCATTCTTCCACATGACTCAATTTCAGCGATGCATATTGTGCGGATGGAGTAAACAATTGCTGATTTTTATCGCGGCATTGTCAGTTTTCCGAAAAATGTTTTGATTGTTTAAATATGTATAATAAACCGTTGCCTTCTTGAAATATAAGCTGCGGCCTCCACTTTTACTGACATAAGGAGAACGACGAATGTGGCGGAATCCTAACATATTTATTTTCGTGAAAGAGTTTTGAAAAAGTCCGGTCAGAAATTTACAACAACTTACGCGCGGTCAGCTCAAAATCGCAGAAAACATATTTTACGTTACAAAGGATATATTTGAGTTGTCAAATTGGAGCATCAGCAGAGCGGGTTTATCAAAAACGAATCAATGACAAAGCATTTAAAGGAAGCCGTCTTAAAGTTCCTCGCTTAAAATTGTAGATACCTAAGTCGTTGAAAAAATAAAGTAAATAATTCTTATTAAAATATCCTTTATTTAGGTATCTGCGCTTTCACACAATCTACACCAACATAACTTGTGTGTTCGTTTGTTTCTTTAGGGGCGGTATTTTCGTAACACTTAATTAAAATATATTAAAATGTAGCAACGTTGCAATCAGATTTCAAGCATTGGTAAAGTTTTTCTTGTCTCAGTTTCTCCAGCTTCAAGTTCGATCATTGGCGCAAACGGTTCCATACTTCCACCACCTCAAAAGCGCAAATCATTTGCGCTTATGGAATTTTACCGGGTGTATAGAAAGGGTACAGGGATACACGTTCCTCTTCACACTTTTTCAAACGCGATCATCGCGAAGCGTCGCGGCGCTGAAAGGTACCACGTGGAGAATAAGCTGCGTTAGTGCCGCTGAAATTCTACAGATAGCGATACGAGTTTTGAATCAAACGGGGTATTCTTGCTTTCCCGTGGTAGCCAGTTTTAACACCGTATTTCATCGTTCTTTCAGTAAGAATGAAAACTCGTTGAACAAAAGGAACCAGTCTAACTGCATTTCACGGTATCTAATTTTCTTGTATGTTTTATTCTTTTGACAGAGAACTAAATTACTTTCCGTGCTTACTTAAAGCTTCAAACTTTCCGTGAATTTGTCCTGGATTATGAAGAATATACGCACAGACCGATTCGTCGGCGAAAGTCTCGATTCATCGGTTAAAAAAATAAAATATCAAAGACAATTAGGCAACGTAAATCCATCCATTTTATCCTTTTCAGTAAGGATGAAATAACTACGAACAAATATCAACAACATAGCTATGATGGTCACAATTTGAAGTTAAAAAGGGAAGAGGAATATTTGGAATTTCAATTTCATCCAATTAAAATTGAAAAAAATGAGAAAAAATAGTAAAAAATGAATTTGACAGAGTTCAACACACACCAAATCGCATGAAAATTGAACCGGGAAAAAAGATTTGAAGTTTTATGGGTCTAAAATGTTAGGAATACATTTAAAAAACATTTTAAGGTTAAATATTTTTCTCAAGTTTGTATTTTAAGAGGAAAAAATTTGCGAATAGTTGAATTTAAAACGACTCCCGGTTCAATTTTTCCAAACGGAAACTAGGTGCGTTTCTGTAAAACTTGGTCCAGGTGGACTCGGTGGAAAACTACATCGGAACTCAAACCATGGATAAATTACAATCATTATGCATGCAACGAAATTGAATAAAATGAAATAAAAATACCCAATTTCTCGCTAATTCTGTAGAGGAGACTCGTCTTGAGACTGTACTTTAGAATACGATGAAATTGTACTTGTACTGCATATTTCTCAAACAACTTGATGGTTCATCTGAATCATCGGAATTTTCAACCGGAGACGTAAATTGCAGTACTCAATTACACAATTTTAGGGAATAGTTTTGATTTGACACGGTCCCTTTCACGCCACAAAATAATTTTCTCTACATCAATTTTAGATGACTTCCATTTCCTGAGAAATAAGCTTAGAACTTAAAAGTGTCCCCTCATCAATTACTTTCCCCATTCATTTGCAATAACTATATTGCAATGCCGCACAGTGGATCGAATCAATTAGAGAGGTCGGGCAAGAAATTTTTTACTAAAACTGCAAATTTTGATGTTCATTTCGTCAGGTATTAAGTTTCAAGGGTTGGTTTTAGAAGTGAATTTCACGAGGAAACCAATTAAAACCTCAGAGTTCGTATAAATGGAGTCATAAGCATTTAAAGTTTCCAAATTTTGTCCGACCTCTCCTATTGACTCGACCCACTGTGTGCCGTAACCAAATTGAGCCTTCTACAGAATTAGTTTCGAGCAGGAGTAAAATATGCATGAAAACAAGGGGCCGGGAGCAGTAACTGTTAAAACCATTGCGTAAAAATCATGTTGAAGCAAATTGATTCTACACGTCGTTCTCAAAACGAGGAAAAGTACAAGAAAGGAAATCAATCGTACAGATTTAACCGGAGAAGTGAACCTACCTCTTCTCCAAAACCTTGCAAACATTTTCTTTTGTAATGTTAACTTCTTGTAGAGGTTAAGTACCTACTGTAATTCCTTGCAAGAATTTACTTCATAAGTTACATTAAATTTGTCCTTTACATGATGCTATGCTAAAGATTTCCTTAAACCAGTCCCTATCACAATATTAAACATATTACGTCACCTTCCCACCAAAATATCACAGGCGTCATGCGACGTTTTTTTTTTACAGAGAAATTGTTCAATGAGGCTGTCCGAAAATTTCACAGAATTTTCTTTGTGTTGCCGATAAAATTCAGTGAAATTTTCAAACGAATTCAACCACCAATTTCTCGGTGAAAAAATAAAATGGCGGCGGGATTTTTTGAACGTCGCATAACGCTAATGATACTTTGGCCGGAGAATGACCAGTGGCGAGGCGTGAATGATCGATTATCGATATCCCCATTTAAAGCTGCATTAAAGAATCGATTATTATGGTATTCGTTGCGAACACCCTGTTGATCGATAGTTTTTCATAGGTTTAAATGGTAGATCAATCGATAAATCGCAAAGCACGCCACGCCACTGAGGGTGACGACATATAAAGGTCCGTTTGAGGAGGGATTATGAGTATGACCCTTGAAATGGACAAGTTTTCACCTACTTTCGAGGCGATTTTTACTATGTCCTCTTTTAAAAGTTACTGCTGCTGACCAGGAGCAAAGGGAAGGAAAAGAAAATAATGCATGCTTTGAGGGGTATACGTACAATATACTAAGGACATGGACACGAACACGAACACGCAGAAAGAGGGTGGTGATTGTGATTTATACCATGCTCTCTCTTTGGTGGGCCTCAATGAGAGGAGTGGTGGCCGTCGTGTCGGCCGGACAAGGAGGGTTCGGTTCCACCGGTGGCCTCAACATGTGTTGCTGCGCCAGTAGCGTCGAGTACAACGGACTCGTCAGCGAGAGTTCCGCGTGCATCTTGTCATTTTTCTACGGACAAAAATCAAATCATTGCAATGAAAATCGCCACACAAATGGACCGCGTTAAGTAGGGTCCTTTTATACTGAGAGTCAAGACAATGTGAATCCATTTCTGATTGGTTCCCGTATTTTAGGCCTCCACGGTGTCACAAACGGGAATAAAGATTACATTTTTACCGATTGCAAAGATTATAATCTGGGATGGACCGAGGAATTACGGGCTCGACAAGGAAGAAACGGAATGAGGGAAGGAACGGAGAAAGGAATTTGAGAATGGGTCGATCAAGGATTACGAAAAACGTTCAATTTGTGTAATCTTTATCCCCGTTTGTGACTCCATGAGGGAGTGTTGTCTTGACTCTCAGTATAAATGGACTCTGGAAGGAACCAAGCCACATTAGATAATGCCAAATTTAACTGGACCATTTAATTTTTACATGAAAACGGTTGCGCGGATTTTTATGCAAATTTTAGTGAATTTTCTGCTTAGTGCGGGGCAAATTCCTTAAAAATTTCAAAGGAATCCGCATTAACGTTCTCTTGTACAAAATTAAATTGCCCAGATTATTTTAATAATGCAAAGAAGTAAAGGGGTGCGATTTNNCATAGTGCAGTGTGCGCAAACGTTATCGGTAAAACTGTGCGCAAATGAAAATTCGGAATTTTGTGCGCAACCGTTATCGGTACGAAAAGTGTGCGCAAGTGTCGTGCAGCCTGCGATTTTACATCGATTGACTACCGCTATATGACGAAAAAACATACACCAATACCTAGGGGTTTTTGCATACCGTGTTTTTCATTTTTGGAAGGGCGTAAAAAATGAGGATGCTAGATTTTCATGCATGCCTGCGACTACTTTGCTTTTGGCAGTGCTTTGCTTTCGAGAAAAAAAAATTGGAGTCTAGCGGCACGATCCGCTAGTGAGCCAGGAGGTGGTAGGTGACCTCAATAACCCTGGTAAAAATTGGCAGTGGAATCTGTATTCCAAAAGACCATAGACCTACAGCTGGCTGTAAGATTTCCAACAGCTTCTGTAGCCGGCAACACAATTTCTTATAGCCTTTTATCCGATGGCGATTAAGCAACAGCCTGGCGATAAAGTGTATGCTAAACGTTACTAATTACGGATGCTAGGACTTGGTGAGTTTTTGGACTACCGCTCTCTTTTTGGGCTGTAGTATCTTGATTTATTTTGCGAGGAAAGCTCCGTACTTTTGAAGGACGCCCGCCATTCCTAATATGATGGAGCGCCTTCAATTTCGTATGATACTGTGCAATACCTCTGGTGTGAAATAGTTGCTTCAAACGCCGAAGTACGCTGCGGTGCGGCGCGGCGGGCGGGCAGCCAGCGCGAAACGCGCATTGGCGCCTACAAACCTAACAGGGATACTTCACGCATTGCGCAATGCGTGAAGTATCCCAGTTAGGTTTGTAGGCGCCAGTGCGCCGCCGCTCCGCTTTGTGTTAGGCTCTACTATTTAATCTCGTGGAGTCAGCGTTTTTCAACTCATGACTTTGAAATGTTTGCACCCTCTGTGTGGATTATTCTCATTTTAATTGATGAAAAAAAATATGTAGTAAAGGAAAATATATAATATGCGTTTTGTAAATCTTGAGGTGATTCCGTACAAACTTAAGGATTTACAAAGCACACGAATTTCTACACAATTTCTTATAGCCTTTTACAGCCGAAGGCAAAAAAGCAACAGCCAGGCGATAAAGTGTAAAGCCCGGCGATAGGAACTATAGCCCGGTTGTATAATTTTTTATCCCTTCGTGTAGCCCGGCCGTATGATTTTTTCCAATTTCTACAGCCAGCTATATGATTTTCTATCGCCTTCTTTAGTCGGCTATAAGAACGCCTATGGTATTTTGAAACGCAGCTCCTATCGCCAATTTTTACCAGGGAAAATTAAAATTTATCATACTAGTTTTCATACTAGTTTTCATAAGCTAAAACTTATTTCAAATCAGAAATAATTCTAAAAACTCATTTTTTCACCGACTTAATTTATTCTTGTTGTGTTTCACTGACAGTATGTGATAATCGGCTGCACAGATTAATTTTTGTTAAATAGTCATTACGGTTAAAAAACTATGAGGCTCCAGAAATTTATGCCAAGTCCAGCGTCGATCTTTAACGACATTTCTGGTTTAATTATTATTCTTTGGGCTCAGATGACTGTACGAGTTCAACAAATGGCCCTCAAAGTATAAAAAAGAAAAATTCTAAGAAACACGAACTTACACTTATTGTATCACAGTTATTTGATCCTATATGAGAAGGATACGACCTCCTTTTCCTGTACATCTCAAAGGCTTTTTCATCCTCATCCAAACAATCTGTGAACAAACGAACAAGGGTTACAGTCAGAAAGAATGCAACAGTAAAAGAGCTCGACTGCACTTGAGACGACACAAGGAAACGGATTCTAAATTTGGTGAATGGATAAAATGTTTAACTTTTTTAAAAAGGTAAGATAGTATCATTATCATACAGCCGTTGGTTTTACGCTCACTGGAAAAAAAACATATTTGATCTAGAGTCCAGACTCTTGAAAACATTGACAAGAAAAAAGACTCTTAAATTCAATCAGATTTAAGCTTAAATCAAAAGGAAATCCGCTCAAATTAAGAGGCTTGGTTCTTGATTCAAGCTTGAATCTGATTGAGTCAAGACTACTTTTTCTTGTTTTTTTTTTTTTTTTAAGAGTCTAGACTGTAGATCCGATGTGTTTTTTTTTCCAGTGCTGCATTCACTCATTCAGTGACTTACTGACCCAGGGAAGGCGAATCACAAAAGGCGAAAAAATACGTAACGAAGAAAAACCTCTTACTTTAGATGGTTACTTAACGCAAGGTTAGACTGGTTTTTGTTGGTTTTTGCTATGGAAACTATCATTGTGACACTGAAAATGTGCATGTCCGCATCATACTATTTGATTGACAGGTTACAGTATATTGATGTTTTGACCCTGGGATCACCCATTAAAATGCATATTGAAATTAACGGATATTATAAACAAACAAGTGTTACGCTTACAACATATTCTGTTCTTATCAGTAAAATCCCGGAAAAACTTCCATTGAACAGTCGTATAATTTTTAAAAATTCACGGAATAATACAGAACAATAAATTGTAAAAAAAAGAAAAAAAAAATTAAAATTAAACGTACCACCTTCGTGAGGAATGATGTCCGGATTCTTATCTAGACTATCTGCGCTGTCGTTCAGGTCTTCTTTAGTTGACGAATCTGTCATTTTTGAGTGTTTCTTCATGTGGCGTCGTCGCACCAATACCGTTGTTATGCAAACTAAGAATATTAGAGTTACTAGACTGCCTACTAAAATTCCTATGATGGGGCCTAACTCCAGCTCACCCGCTAAAAGCGCTGCAAAAAACAAACATTGAACAAATTTCAACAAAAACTCACAAGGAATAAATTATTAAAATTTCCAGGAGATGATCACATCTCAAAAACACTAAAGCAATTTCATAAAACAAAGGTAATTATTTTTAATTTGTGCTTCGCGCTCAGGATTTTTATCAGAAACCACGCCAGGAAAATTACTGAAAAGCCCGGGAAAAGTTGGGCGTTTTTATCCTTAAAATGTCTGAAAAGTCGCGGAATTTTTATACTGAATAAAAACTTGTCACCTTGAAAACAGCAATAACCATGAATAGTCGTGATACCACTGTTTTCGCTCAAAACGGTCTCGCTAATTGCACTATTTGGCAACGCTGCCATTTACGAAAGATAGTAAATAATTAATAGGGCACCATTTTCACATATTTTCAAAGGGCGCAAATGATAAGATTCAAAAGAACGTAAAAGTTGTAATCGTCGATAAGTTCAGGCTCGTAATTGTCGCATTACTTGTTTCCGTTTTACTTAATATTTATCATTAATTTATGAATTGTTTTTCATCAATTCGATTAATTACTTTAATCATACAATCTTCGTGCAACGACAACGTATTGAGTACAATGAGTGACACAATGTATGATCACAGGCGGAAAAAATTGAAGGCGCTTCGGTGTTTTCAATGGATAGGTCTGGATACAACTATTCGTGTTCTTGGGATGTCCGTGTTGCATACACATCTATTTGTAGGCGCTCTGGCTTTCTGAAGCACGACGCATAAGTGCAGTTGTTGGTCCTCAAGAGTTATTTCTCTATTGCATTTACAAACGTGTTTACTATGAAATCGTCGGAGTTTCAATGTGCCGTTTTGCATACCGGCAGCGTTGCCAATTTGTGCATTTTTTTTTACCAAAACCATTTCCACAAATACATCGCAAATATGTCAATCCCGCGAATGAATTTCGATAACATTTCAGCAACAACGAGCGAATCTCGACCAATCGTGATCATTGCTGTTTGCAGGATGACAAGTTTTCTTGAATTGATAAATTCCAAGACTTTTCAGATATTTTGAACATATAAATACCCAAACTTTCCCTAGGTTTTTATTACATTTTTGACATAGTTTCTGATACAAATTCTAATCACAAACAAATCTGATCGCAAAGTATCTTAAAAGTGAAAAAATGCAATTTTTTGGCCGGAGGAAAACATTTTTGCAGCAAAATTCCCTATTTTTATCCAACCAATGAGGATTGGGCATAATTCCTTGAGTAGCTGTACCTAATCACTCACTCCACGTGAGTAAGGTTACCACCCCAATATTTAAAAAAACTGCAGGGTTATACAAAAAGAGATAAAAAAAAATCGGAGGCCTATAAATTCAGATTCAAATTCGCACCCAGTTTGTTGACTTGCCAGGCTCAACGAGACAATATTTGACATGAAGAGGAGGCCGTTCGATACCGAATCGAAAATATGTCTACTTTTCGGTTCAAATATTTATTTTACACGGAATTCTCTCAGTTTCCATTTCCTTTCTCGCCCCTCTTACACTCTTTTCCCGGTCGCCCTGCGTTTTTTCACACACGACGGCCGATCCCATAAATCGCTGCGCTCGGACAGGCGATGCGATGGTATCGGTTCTGCAGAATTACACCGACACCGACGCGGTGCGTAAATACACGTCGAGGTGTAATTAACAATGAGCTCGGAGTTGCGAAACGTTTCGAAAAAAGTCCCGCGTATGATGGAAAACGAGCGCAAGGTTCTATCCGGCAAGCGCCCAGCGCGGAGCTTTTAAAATAATCTGCTTTCAGACGGCCGGGGCATTGTTCCCGGTGGAGAGAGGGACCCGGAAAGGTATCAGAAGGAGGGAGACTTTCTTTTGTCGTCTTCGCTCGACATTTGTAAACTTCGGAAATAAAAGCTATCACTGTTATAATACTTTGCATTAAAACACGCTATGGATATATTGCATGTAATTATGATTGTAAGGATTAGATTCACGCGCTAGCAGTTAATAGCCGAGGGGTGGGAGACCCCTCCCCCTCCACCCCTTTCCCTTCGGGAAACTTGGTCTAATTTCAGTGCCATATTTCGTGCCCGGAGACAAGTCGCGTACCCTCCCTCTTTCCAAGATCTCTCTTGCTGCCAAAAATCCCCTCTCGGTGAAAAATCTCAGACAGATCGGAGTTCCCTTTCCTCTCGTTTATGATGATTGTTTCTTTATGCAAAAATAATATTCTGAATTCGCGACGCGACAGCCGAGCCCCTTCCGCCGTGCTCGTCTCTGAAAATGACTTTTTCCGCCCCTTGCCATCGTTTGCTCTTTGATTCCTCCCCTTTTCGCGACCGGGATGTGCGTCCGATGGTGATAATTCTGGCTGGATTTCTTCGCTTCACTTTCATTGCTGTTTTATGCGTAATCCGCGTTTTGTCGCCTGCAAAATCTTGTTGGCTCCGGTGCATTCAATTGCCCATACTGGAAAGACTCAAACATTATCTTATATCCTAAATTTTAAGCCCATTTGTGCGTATTAGTATGAGGGTTGGTTGTTTCTGGGGGAGCTGATGTTGCCTACATGAAAAATTGAAGGGAAAGCGACATTATATGGACGTATTTTTGTCAAACGGAACTAAGCGCCATATGGTGAGGAAGGTAGAGGGGGGCTTGGATTGGCGGCGAAACCGGGCGTCGGGCTCATTCCGTCCTATACTCGCAATGCTTTTCCATGGCGCTTAGGTCCGTTTGGCAGAACGCGCTATCCGGCATTCTAAATTACTCAAAAGGAACTCAAATTGTCGCTTAGTTCCGTTTGACAGAAATACGTTCATATTACAGTTATCAACTAATCCTCTCTTGAATGGGGAAAAAAACTCTTCAGCCCTACCATTGCAGACAAGCACTTGCACTGATCGGAAGATACGCGATACACATGACTATAGAATGACGCTTTTGAAATGGGAAAATTACATGGAATTTTTTCAATTCCTTACCAACTGAGTACGTCCTGGGGCAAATTTTACTCGTGACGAATGAAAACTCAACTTCATCTCAATAATGTCACGTGAACAATATTTCGACGGTGTAAGTCGGCAATCACATAACTCGTTTGCGGTGTCTGAAAATCTCCGCCTCTTCGTTATTTTTTTAAAGGAGAACAAATTGACGTCATTCCTTGAAGTTTTTGCAGAATTTTCTTCCCACCGAGAGGAAAAATCACGGCAGTTTTAAAGAATTGCCGTTCGGTAGTTTTCCGTTTAAAAAATTAAGTATGACAGGAAGTCTGCGACGTCGCAAACCGAGTTATGTGATTGCCGACTTACACCGTCGATTTGTAATCTTGCAATACGGCAACATTTTTCTACCTTCATTCAAATGTTTGGTAAAAAAACGATTCTAAGTGAGGCTGCCTTGACTGATTTATATACCACCATCTTTAGAGTATGGGCACATGTAAAGTGCGTGTTGGTAATGTATGGACGCAACCAAGTTTTACCAACTAGCGAGAATGATCACTGGAGGCTGATTATTGAACTTCATTGACGAAGCTATATGAGAAGAGGGATAAAAGAAAATGGAGCGATTCTCTTGGTTGAAATGACCGCTCCCTATATGTAGACAGTGAGGAAATATGATGAAACATTTCCACCAATTAGATCGTTCTGTTACGTCTTTGTCTATCGATTTGTCAATCCCAATTTCTATCTCTTGATCTATCGCTTTGTCTATCAATCTTAAAAATCACCCCGCTGTTCGTGATACACTCAAAAAACAAGTATGGGAAGAGTGACTTGTCGGCCGAGTTATGGATCATGGAGTCATAAAATATAGTTCGTGGAGCCATACTTATAGGTTCACGACCAATAAGGTATGGCTCAGAAAGCCATACTGTAGACGGTTAGTCACTTTGGTTAGAAATTATGGATCTGTGAACCATTTTTTATTGGTCTCAGAGTCATACCTTTTTTTGAGTGTATGTGATTCTTTTTGATTATGGAATGTAAATGGGAGGGTGGAGCATTACCTGTTCGCCTCTGGGTGCTCTGAGCTTTGCTGGCTTCTATCCTGAGGACTCTGGGCTCGCTGTGTCCCTTGCTGTTGGCGGCGTAGAGGACGACGTCGTAGGAGAAGGAGGGGAGCAGGCTGGAGGTGGAGAAGACGGGCGAGGAGGAGGTCATGTTGACCATGAGCTGTCTCTCGGGGGTCCCGTGCGTGACGACCTCCATGACGAAGAACTGGGGCAGACCGCCGTCCCAGCCGGGGCTGCACTCCACGTTCAACAGGTCGTTCGTCCGGTTCTGCACCGTGCAGTTCGTTGGCGGCTCCGGTTTGTCTAAACAGTCCATTTGAAAACATTTTCGTCAGTAAAAAATCCATCTTACTCTTCGCATCCATTCATTAACGAGGTTACTGCCATAAGAACATCTTAAAAATGGAACTCCAAAGCCATGTATGTCCAATGCGCGGAGTTTCAAAATTTCCTGTTTAATTTATTCTTGGATAAGTGGAACTCAAATCGAATGCACGGGCCATCTTCTGGGTCAGCCTACTGACCTCCCTACAAACTATCTATCATCACTTCACCATACTTAAAGCTCCGCGAACCCCTAAATTTTCATTTTTTGTCATACTTCGTTCTACCGCTCTACAGGGCAAATTTTTATACTTTTCGTGGCTTTTGACAGGTGATAGTCCCTAAATTGTCGTCTTTCTAAGGAAGGAACGTAATTCTATTCTGAAGTTGCAAAATTGATTCGAAGCAATTCAATTTTTTACAAGAAAATAAGTACACAAGAGTCGCTTTCATAGCGCTTGCGGTCACCGAAATTTTAAAACTCCTTAAGCAATTAAATTTAAAAATTTAAGGTTTCCAGCAGCCTGATTGTTGAAATTTTTTGTTTGTTGGGACGACATAAATGACATGGGTTAAAAGGCGGAGCGTGATTGGTCGGCTATGTATTATCGCTGCTTTGTCGTGCCTTTGTCAGGTGGAATAGACGACATACTGTCGGAAACGTAAGAGGTGCTTTTGCTTGTCGTGAGTTCAACCCGACATAGGCACGGCAAAGCAGTGATAAGACATAGCCGACCAAACACGCTCCGCCTTTTAACCTATGTCATCTATGTCGATCCTGACAAACAAAAAAAGTCAACAATCAGGCTGCTGGTCCCCGACGTAAATAGCCTGGTTGCTGATCGTCGTGAGTTAAGTAACTAACTAAGTAACTCTGGCGCTCTGCGACGCCTAATCGCCAAAAAACTCGGTCCTCCCACAACCCGGCAGGGAGTCGGTAATCCTCATTTCATGAAATGAAGGGGTTTTACATGAAATGAGGTATTACAAGAATGTACTCGTGCAATTTTCGTCTCAATTTTTTCTCCTTTAAGCATGCAGTTAGGGGGAAAATTCGTGGAATTTTTGAGAGGGGGGTCCGGGGGGCTTCCCCGAGGAAATTTTCGGAATTTTGAAAGCATATTTCGTGCAGATTAAGTCAATTTCATTATGAATAATTACGAACTATATAAGCGCCCATCCTTCTTCTTTCCTTCCCTCTTTTTCCCATTTGCCTTCCTCCTTTTTTCCGGTGAACGTGGGGGAGGGAGTGTGCGCCCCTGATCCCCCCCTCCCTGGATCTGCTTACACCTGAACTTTCTTGTACAGATGTTCCCCCCTTCTTTCAAGTAGACTTTACGTGGCGAAAGGGCATGTGGGCTTTTTGAACGTTGTTGGAAGAGCTTTCCTTTTTCTCTATCCCTCTCTCTCTATCTGTGATTAAGCGGATGTCCAAGCGTAAAAAAGGATGGTTTAATCCGGCCTCTGACAATCCTGGAGTCCACGGATCCTCCGGCTCGGCGGAGAAAAACTCGGAGACAAATGCAATTTTAAATACGGTCGGGCGAGCTGCACGTAAAAGGCAGAGTTCACAGAGAGCAAGCTCACGAGTGTTAAGTTAGTTAGGCAGCCAAGTTTCCCCGTCAAGTTTGAATAAAGGGACACAAACCGGGTGTAACTATATTGGGTCCCGAGAGAGTTGCGCAACTATTTCAATAACATTCTGTTGCGGGGCACTATACTCTATACTTTCTCGGCGCTGAAAACTTTTAGATTAAAACTAAGTTAAATAAAGAATCCGAAATCAATGAGCACAATGCCATTATTACCGATATGATTAATGGGGACTCCCACTTCCCGCTCAAAAGGAAACTTCGCCTTCCACCTTTGAGTCTTTCCCTCTCGGATTCTTGGCTCCTACTTAATACCATCTTAATTGATTTGTCGTTTTATCTCCGAGTTTACTGCGTCTTATCATGTACATATATGCGCCATCCAGCTGATCGGAGCTTCAAAAAAAGGCGTCTATTGCACGCAATAGCTACCAAATGAATAGACGTATTCTCTTAGGCTTTGTAAACACTAACTGGATTACATTTTGCAATTAGGAACTATAATGTCTCTCTCAGTTTAGAAACAACGCATGTCCCATTCGTTTTCTAATATACACGAGTGTTTTTACAGATGGGCCAGAAATTATAATTCCGTATTGCAAAATGTAGTCCAACTGTTCGCGGAACTTTGCCAGAACAAGTTCGAGGAACTTTCAACTGTGCGCATCGTTTTTTGTCCCTTTTCTGCGTGCAAACGGAATGAGTTATAAGTGGACTGTGTTTAGCAAAAAGGGCTCAAGCCACATCAGCTGTTGCCAAATTTAATGGGGCAATTTAATATCTAACAGAAGAACGTGTCTGCAGATTACTTTGAAAACTTTAAGGAATTTACTTCATACTATGTAGAAAATTCACTACAATTTGCACGAAATTCCGCACAACCGTTTTCATGTAAAAAATAAAATTCCCCAGTTGAATGTGGCAATAGTTGATGTGGCTTGGTCCCTTTCAACTTAACGCGGTCCAAGTCAGCTACATAGTGTTTCGTAGAAATTCCGGGAACCTCTGCGTTAAAAAGGCTGTAAGTTCAGTCATAAGTAAATCACGATTAGTGCATCAAAAAAGGCTGAGATCCACTTTTTAGCGCGGAATTAGCGTATTTTGTAAGGCACAATCCATTTAATTTCCTCTGACTGAACATTATCTTGCAGGAAAGTTTGAATGGGCCTGTTGCAAACTTTTGCTAGAGCAAAAATAAGAGTTGTTTCTTGTAGATAATGCCTCAAAAATCACGATGAGCGCATCGGCAAAATCTGAAATGCACTCATAACTTCACAATCTGTGTAAGAAATTTGCGTTTTTTTAAGCTTCCCGCTTCAAAAACGATACTACGGCACAGGTGAACATTTTGTTAGAGGAGTCGCTCCATCGTCGGCGATATTCATCATGGCCGACGCTTGCGCGCAGTTCCGCGCGTAATTCGAGGAGAGTTCAAGGTCAACCAATTCGGGCGTGGAAAATATGAACGTTAACACACCGATTGTTATCTGGTCTAATCCAGTTCAGGTGTTATCTCGTCCCTTCAAACGTGTTTTGGCGGATTGGCGTCGGCCATGATGATTATTGCCGACGACGGAACGACTCCTCTTACAAAATGTTCACCTGTGCCGTAGTATCGTTTTTGAAGCGGGAAGCTCAAAAAACCGCAAATTTCTTACGCAGACTGTGAAGTTATGAGTGCATTTCAAACTTTGCCGATGTGCTCATCGTGATTTTTGAGGCATTATCTATAAGAAACAACTCTTATTTTTGCTCTAGCAAAAGTTTGCAACAGGCCCATTATATTCCGTTTAAATTCTTAGAATCATCGGGTTAAATTAAGCAGAAAATTCTCTAAATACCTAATATAAAAAAGAGATAAAGAATATCAGCTCACAAGTTTTCCCGGAAATTCGAAATTAATGGGAGAAAATTTGAACCATGCAAATGTCGCATGAGCCGAACAATGCGAGCGATATTGAACACCGTGCATCTAGTTCATAGGACTGAATTTTTTTAAGTTTTCGGGGCCCGTTCCTCGCAGATGGGGCCCCCTCTAACACAAAGTCCTTCTTTATATGGGGTTTTAAAGTTTTGAGAGCCCCCACAAGAAACCTTCCGGGGCCCTCTGAGCCACCCGTCCGATTTTCTGAGGTGCTGCAGCACCCTAGCACCCTTCACTGGAAAAAAAAAAACGCATTGGATCTAGAGTCCAGACTCTTGAAAACATTGACAAGGAAAAATACTCTTGATTCAATTGGATTTTTGCTTGAATCAAAACGAAATCCGCTTAAATTAAGAGGCTTGGTTCTTGATTTAAGCTAGATTCTAATTAAATCAAGAGTACTTTTTATTGTCGATGTTTTTAAGAGTCTGGACTCTAGATCCGATGTGTTTTTTTCCAGTGTTGGCTAAACCGGCCCTGACTGTGAGGACAGAGAACACGGTTGAATAGTGGGATTGATTACCTGTGGGTATGACGTGGAAGACACAAGGCTGCCTCTGGGGCCCGATCTCGTTCTCTGCCGAGCAGAAGAGGACGCCGTACTGGTGGGCCATGGCAACGACGGAGCGGAGCTGGTTGTCGGCGGCTGTCAGCGGGGCCGGCGCCAACGGGGTCGAGTTGTTGAGTCGCCACGAGAACGTCACAGCGGCCGGGTTCGCCTCCACCTCGCATATCACTCTGGCCGCCTCCTTTCGCCCCGATCCGTACTGCGTCGGCTGCCCAGCTTTGCACACCGGCGCGACTGAAATCAACCCCAACATCAGAGAACTTGCAAATCACAACTTTGATGGGTTTCATTCAGTGTTCAAAACTCACAGGCGAAAACGCGCCAAATACGCCTAAAAAATCAGCCATGGCGCCTAAAAAATGAAGGCTCTGCGCCAACGTGGCCCCTAAAAATCTGGATTTTCACATGAAGTCACATAAAGAGAGAAAAATAAATCTATTTGAATTGAAAAAAACTCGAAATTTTCAGCACTACAAGTGAAAGCTTGCCTTTTCTATTCTTCACGATTTCATTCCTACTGCTTTTCTCTTCCCAAAGTTACAGCTACTTAATAGTTCTGTTACGAAAACATCTTGCGTCTAACTTTTCACTAAATGCGTAATATAAAGGCTAAACGTCTATTTGGCCCCTAAAAAATCTTCAATGGCGCCTAAAAGTCGGGCTTGATGCGCCACAGGGCTCCTAAAACTCAAAGGTGAGTTTCGAACACTGGTTTCATTTGAGGCTACTAGTTCCGAAATGTACGATGTCCATTTTGGTCGAAATTGAGTTAGGATTGAATTCTCGATCATCCATTAGAGGAGAATCGGAAAATAATATAATTGTGTTCAAAAACAGCCAAAATACTTTTTAATTAGAAGTATTAAAAAGGTAGGTCGCAGCTAAACGTACAGTACTCAAAACACTGGGGAAAAACTGTAGATGCAAGATAGCGAAAGAGATTAAAATCTTCAAATAATTACAATTCCTATTTTGAAAAAAGAAAAAAAGGGGAAGGGCACAAGTGTTCAAAGACTGCCAGATTCCTAGGCTGTACATTTCGTTGAAAAATGTTTTCAGCACGCGACGCTCAGCAAAAAGATTATCCAATCACCTTGTTTTGCGTGAAATTTTGATGAGATGGTGTATGTATTTTGAACATGTAATTAGGAGTATTTCATAAAATAATTTTTGTAGCTGCTTAATTTTGATACATAGCTACAATCCTCAATCATCAAGTATTCTAATCACATGTTCAGGGCAATCGCAAATCGAGGAAGTTTCCACTCGTCGGTTGATACGTTCCGTTCCCCGAAACTGACAACAAAATTCCACTACATCATTCATGTCATTATCGTGAAATAAATGTGGATAACTAAGCGTTTCTCTAATATGTTCCCGCGGAAGAGAGGCGATGGCTCGTATTCGATACATTAAACAGAAGATATCGTATCGATATCGACTGGTTCAACAAGTAAACATAGCCTCAAAAGTTAATCGAGTAATCTGAGAGAGCGGGTTTCTTGTGAAGATTTTTTATTCTTATATTAGTATAAAATGGCAGTAATAGGGAGGAGTAATAGGAGATCAGAAGGCGCCAATTACCTAATGGTCTCTGGGAGGATAGACGCTATTAGTGGCGACGTCATCATAGGGATTCTCCATTATATCGAATTGGATCCAAACAATAACATTGGCATAACCTCTTTCAATGCTACCAATGCGAAAAAATCGATATATGTCGCTTTTCTGTGACGTTGCACTAATAGCGTCTATAGGGGGCAATGGAGATGGGGCGTCGTAGAGTGCGAGGCTGCGCTATAAAAGCGGCTTAATGTATAAAATGGCAATGAAAAGTGAAATTGTAAGGAATGTTCTCATTTTCAGCTTGTCCGACTTAAATCCTAAATTTTTTGTATGAGGTTATGTTCTATTGTTTTGAACCAAACGATACATCGAACTACTATCGAATACGTTCTATGAAAATCGATAACGCGTAGCGACCCTATCGAAGTATGATATTTGGTTCGGTGAATATTCGCTCTGTGTGAAGCCCCCAAATTTTAATAAACCCTCGATTCTTGCCTCACCGAGGATTCAATTTGCGAATATTTTCAAGAAAAAGGCAACAACGCGTGACGTCATTCGAATTTGCGATTGGATATCGAAGCGTATTTATGTTAATCGAGTCGCCGAACGGCAGTACTGCACTCGAGGAGCTACGTTTGTGGAACACAATAAGGAGCACTCACTGACTTGGCTGAAGGCTTCGGAATGAAATTCAGCGACGAGCGCTGCTTAGTTATCTCCGAAAAGATGGGAGTCATGCTAAAATGAAATTTTGATTTCACGACATTCCATCAACGATTTTTTGTCCGCGCACCTGTTTTGTCCAGTAGTTTACGTCCACGCGGAAAATAAAAGTTGTGTTGAAAGAAATCTTACAAAAATGAGTAAAAATTGGAGAAGCACGCATTCATTAGTTTTAACCCGTATGACTATGTGCATCGATCTATTAGAATGAAATACGTACGATTTCGAGCGTTTGGTTGCGCGGACACCGAGCTGAAGCATATTAAAAGCACAAAACATGCAAGAAAACATTTAAATGATTTGGGAATCATTAAATTTGACACAAAACTACCGTAATATTTACAAAACACATTTTATATATTCTTCAAATACAATATTTTTCCTCCCATCAATTTAAATGAGGGAAATCCATGCAGAGTGTGCAAAAATGTCAAATTCATGAACTGAAAAACACCGACTCTGCGATTTTAAATATTATGAGCCAAAACACAGAGCGGGGCGGCGTACTACCGGCGCGAAACGCGCACCAACGCCTACAAACCTAAGGGGATACTATACGCATTGCGCAATGTTTGAAGTATCCCCTTAGGTTTGTAGGCGCCATTGCGCGTTGGGAGCAGCAGCGTGCCACGGCGCCTCAAGCAACTATTTCACAACAGAGGTGTTGCACAGTATCAAACGAAATTGAAGGCGCTCCAACATTTTAAGAATGATAGGCATCCTTTAAGAGTACGAAGCTTTCCTCGAAAAATTAATTAAGGTACTACGGCACGAACTTCCCTGCTGAAAAAACGCGTGGACATAAACTACTACAAGAACCAGGTGTGCGGACAAAAAATCGTTGTCAAAATGTCCTTCAACCGAAATTTTTACTCCAATAGGAAACTCTGAACAAAATTTTCAGTGATCACTCGGGATGCGGATTCCTGGGAAAAATCGATTTAGGTGCATAAACCCTTTTTTGCGTAAGATAAATCTTTTATTTAAACTCTCTTCCCCCGAGTAAATTTTGGGATTTAGTGTCTGAAAAACAAGATATAAGAAAATAGCAAAAAAATCGTAAAAATCGCAAAATTGCATATATTCGAGAAAAAACTCGATTCGGCCGATTTGACACGAAAAAGGGGCACAAAGGGAAAGTCAGAGAGAAACGTAGCCCCAATGTAACCTCTAAACCAAATGAAAACATTTGCAACGTGGAAATGTTTTAGCCTTGGGGTGAAAAATGTCCAAATCGAGAATCACTGTTTCTAGGCATTTCCTGGCCTCCTGAATGCATCCCCAAAAGTTTCAAGAATTTCATAAAATTTCACGCGAATAAATTTTATGAAATTTGCCATCTCTGCGAGCCTTCAGACATTACAAAATTCCTCCCGATAATATTGTATGAATTTTCAGGGACATTGGTGGATATTTTATGGAATAATTTTTCAAAGAGGTTTATTCACAATCAGATTTAAATTATCTGAAAATTTCAAGAGAAAATATTCATAACTATCCTCGGGCATGAACATTTTATCAGAAGTTTGATAACTCTCGAATGTTCATACGGCGTTTTTCCGCAGCATGACAGTAACGCACGGAGAAAAAAACTTCGTGCATGGGACCCGAAGTTGAGGTCATATGGATCTCTGAAGTTTTTTGATCACGCATCCGAAAACTTGAGGTCGAGCTGCCGAAGTTCGGGTCAGACATCGAGGCACTTCGGTAAGCACCGGTGTACTTCAGATGTGTGACCCGAACCCTTCGGTATAAATCAAAGTACTTCAGATGTCTGACCCGAACTTCGGCAGCTCGACCTCAAGTTTTAGGATACGTGATCCGAAAACTTCAGAGATCAATATGACCTCAACTTCGGGTTCCACGCACAAAGATTTTTTCTCCGTGCGGTTACCGAATTAAGTTTTAACGGACCAATCAGGGTGTAAAAACAAAATACCGTCCCAGTCGCCCGGTAATGACCATGAAACTGTATCCATTACTTTATTTCGTTCAGAAAATGCGCTCTTTTAAAAAATTGTTGAAAGATTAAGGTTAGAAGATGGTTGAAAGAGTATACTCACATTTGACGTCAAGATTGAGCGGATTGCTAACTCCATCGCCTTCAGAATTGCTGGCGACGCACGTGTAAAGGCCGGCTCGATGCCGCGTAATGTTTTGCAAGACAAGAGTCTGGTTCCCGATTATCACTCCAGCGCTTGCATTGTGAAACAACGGCTTGTCCTGCCAAAATAACACAAGTCCAATTACCTATTGGTGATTATCCACAGAAAAAAGAAACTTTGTCCACAAAAACTCAAATTGAAGCTACTAACCACAACATACATGCAACAGCAGAGGAGTATTGTGGGAAAAAACGATGATAATGATGAACAAGAACAAGAAGAAGAAGAAGAAAGAAAGAAGAAGAAGAAAGGAGAGGATGAAAGAAGCGGAGGAGAGGGAAAATGAGAAGAAGAGACGCTGAAAAGAATGTTAGATAAAGCCGCACGGAAAAAAGAGAGCACGGGGTTGTTGGATGACATGGACATTTCCAATTAATTGTGGTAGTGCCCCAATAAATTAGGTCACTAACCCAAAAGTTACGGTACTACCACAATTTTAGGGGATAATCCGTTAAACTTTCTTCACCGTGCGGCAAAAAACGGTTTAAAGTTGGCAGCGGAAATGCTCCAAGAAGCTTTCCCTGAATTCATTTGATTTGAATTTAATTGATTATTTGAAGCCAAAATTCACGATCAGTTCTTGGTAAAAACTAGAAAAGAGTATCAGACAGTTTGTTTTATTTGAATGTAGCGAAATTTTTCAAGGAATCACATAGATTGCGAACAGCTCAATAAAGAGGCCGCCAATTTTTTTCGAATTTCAAACTATGATTTTGAGCTCACTCCCTTCTCCAAAAAGAGGAGCTTTCATAAGTTTTCTATTACCGAAAACTTTCGCCAGTAAAATTAGTGCAAAGAATAAGGAACTGAGTGTTTTTGGGCAAGGGCACAAAATAGGAAACTTGAAGGAAAACCACCTGAAAATAAACACTTGGTGAGCTCTCCATTTGTGGAAGACAAAAGATTTCAATGATTTTGACTTGCGTACAACCCGTCATCCTCGGCAATACCACCAAAACTCTTGGTATTCGAGTTAGATCGGCCTCGCATCAATCTGCGCAACTGCACCCTGCGCAGAGCTTCGAGACGGGCTACTGCGCAGCATGGTTTCGGTGCAAACTCAAATAAAATCATCTGTAGTGGAGTGAAGATAATCACGGTTATATTAATTCCGCAGACACCACCCCCCTCCCCTCCTTCATCGCAGCGAGAGACAACAAGGAATGCTTGACTCAGGCACTCCTCAAAGAGCAAAGCACGAAGCTTCGTCTTATCTTGTCTGCCGACCTTTTATTCTTCAACGCAGCTGCAATCAAAGGCTGGAAAATACCTTTTTGATAGAGGAAATTTAAGGCTTTTATTGCCTTATTTGGCATCAAGGCTCTTGATTTCCTTCACCGGCATTTGTGCTAACGACGAGATATGAATTACTCCCATGGCGAAATTAAGTCAATAACTATTACACGCCTTGTGCTTGGCAAATAAGGCGAAAAGACTGTACTTCCTCCCGTTTGAGAAATGAAAATTGGACCGAGTTTTTACTGAACTTGGCAACTATGCCGTGAGACCATGACTAATGATGCGTTCAATTACTGCGACTCGATTGAAGAGTCAAATCAAATCATGAATTATTTACCAAGCTGCATAAATACCCAAGATTCTTCCGTTTTACCTTTATGAAAAAGGTTCATCTAAAAGCGACTCATACGGCAACACTGTGAGAATATTTTTGAAGACAGAGAGATGCGTCTGTTTATCACTATTTTGAGTTGTAATTAGGCCCGTTTTAAACCTTAGATTAGGTATTGATGTGGTTAATACAGTAAATGTTTTGATACTTCGGAGCTCTGAGATATGGAGCGGGTCGGTTTAAACTTTTTTCTCACTGGAAAAAAGTCGCTTGGATCTAGAGTCCAGACTCTTAAAAACATTGACAAGAAAAAATACTCTTGATTCAATCGGATTTTCCCTTGAATCGAAGAGCCAAGCCTCTTAATTTTTAAGCGGATTTCCTTATGATTCAAGTAAAAATCCATTTGAACAAAAAGTATTTTTTCTTGTCAATGTTTTTAAGAGTCTGGGCTCTAAATCCAAGCGACTTTTTTTCCAGTGCTTTCTCTCTTTCGTATTTTGATTTTGGCTCGTAAGTTTTTCTGAGAAAGTCCAATTCAATTTCAGGGATGACGCTTTTACATTCTTGCTTTTTGTCTTGACTTAAGATGAGGTCAAGTGAGGTCAGTGGGTTAAAGATATGAGATAAGATGAGGAAATGTACAGTTTCCATGCCTGTAGCGACGGAGGTTAAAAGCCTCCCAAGTGTCTTTGAAGTCGGACTGAGAAGAAGATTCCCTCAAAACTAATGTTGCAGCAGGATTTTTTTTTCACCGCTAAACTCACCGGAGTTCGAAAAATTAAGAAAAGCGGGAAGATCAAGGCTGTCCCGTGACGCACGCTGATAGCATTTTCGCCGAAAGATGTAGGCTTTATTTCCTGCACCCTAACGAGAAAAAGCGTCGCCTCTCAGATAAAAGATCGTACCTCAATTATCACGTGAGCCCTGTTTTACGTATAAATCAACGCTTTCTGGGGCTCGTAGGGAAATAGAGATATGCCCTTACGTCAGAGCAGTGCCGAAAGGAGGACGCGAGCTTCAAAGCCGGATGACGAAGACAGCTCTCAAAGGTAGAGAGGAAAAAAGGATTCGTACCGAAAGCCTTGTCATAAAAGCTCGAGGAACGGAAAGCTCTTTGAAACTTACGTTATGTCTCCAGGTAACTCTGTAAACATTTGGATTTGCAGTTATGTTGCACTCCAAGTACACATCTATCCCCTCTCGCAAGTCGACAGAACTCAAGCTGCGGTGTAATCCGAGGGAAACTACCGGCACATCTGGAAACAAAACAAAAAACACAATATAAGTGATTTGAACTTTCAGCACGCTAAAACACCGTGAGAATAGGATTACAGGTTTCACACAATTTTTAGTTTTCAGAATAGATATTCAGAAGGACATTGTAAAAAAAGGAACACACCCAGACGGCTGGAAACATACATAGCTGTAAATAACGTTTTAAGTATCATATAGATTTATTTCGTCTTGGGTTTTTCAGGTTTGTTTGTCTCGAATCCCGGTCATCATCATGTAGGTTTCAGGTTTTTATCCGAAAACTTTTTGATTTTATAATAATTGTGTATTTTTAGCCTTGTGTTCCGTTTTCCACCTTGCTTTGCTCACGTTACAATTGCCACGGGCTGCTGCGTAAAAAAATTGTATTTATTTCGTCTTGTCATGTTACAGAAATCCTGTCGCATTTCAATTTTTTGGAAAACGAATGGTCTGAAACATCGATTTCCACACGAGCCTTGATTCACGTATAAATCTATGTTTTCTGAGGCTCATCCGAAAATCGAGATACGTGAAATTCATCAATAGAAATAGATATAAAAACAACTAGTAGCTCTTTCCACCCGTAATCAGCTCAGAATTATATTGATTTCTATTCCAGCTAACTTATATTCATTAGCTTTTTTCCACATTATTATACACGCGGCCTGTAAGGCATTTATTTTTCTACATAAGCGAACTTTTATCTCGATGAGAAATAGACAAGATCTACGAAACATTTCTAGAACCAGGAGAAACTTGAAATAGACAAGATCTACGAAAAATGTCTAGAACTAGGAGAAACTTGAGATAGACAAGAACTACGAAAAATTTCTAGAACCAGGAGAAACTTAACAAGAGGACTCCGTCAGAGGAGCGACGGTCGCTCATACGAAAAGGTGAGTTCTCGGTGATTCATGCTCACCAACACCGCAACAGACACGAAAGTGGCGAGACTGGGGGCTCCGAAACGGCGAGTCGTAACACGGCGAAGTTACGGCGAATGGGTGTCTGCAACCGTATCGCGCCCCATTCTTTCACTTCCAATTAGCCAAATTCGCTCTCCAGTCCCGCGGCGGTGAATTTTTTATAACGCACCGCGCCGCGGTAATTCAGCGACCAGGGCGTTACCGCGGTAACGCTAATCGGACGAAAATTCCCGCGGAATAGATTCAGTTATCATAATAGGCGGTCGGACGCGAAAGCGAATTACAGCGTCGGGGATTCATGGACCCACGGGTTTAAACAATGCCCGCATCGCGTCAACGCCGCGCCAATCTGCCTCGCACCGGTGGATCTCCGCTGACTCACCAGATTGCCCGGGAAAACGCGCCTACCCCTCGTCGTGACGCGCGGAGACGTCGTGATCCGGCAATCGGGGGCCTCCGTTCCGGCAATTTGCATATGGGTGTCTGAAATAATGCCATCATTCGTAGCTCGATGGGTCGAGTTGTCAAGTCCCCCGGTGCCTGCCGCCTCCTCCGCGCCCGGTGCTGAATCAAAATTTGATTGACCCGTCTGGTTTTTGGCATCGTTAGAGCTTCCGCACTCGACTCGTTGAGAAACAATAATTGAAAAACGCAATAATGTATTTTCTTCAGGGAAACATACTGTAATTAAAAAAATGCGTGTAGAACACTGGAAAAAAACACATTAGATCTAGAGTCCAGACTCTTGAAAACATTGACAAGAAAAAGGACTTTTGATTCAATCAGATTTAAGCTCAAATCAAAAGGAAATCCGCTCAAATTAAGAGGCTTGGTTCTTAATTTAAGCTTAAATCTGATTGAATCAAGAGTATTTTTTCTTGTCGATGTTTTAAAGAATCTGGACTGTAGATCCAATGTGTTTTTTTCCAGTGAACAAAAGTTTTATATTCTTTGGTAACTGTCTTTTTAGGCGCCTTGTTTTGACGAAAGAGCTCTTCACAAGTCGAAAATAGGAGCTGAAAATGGAGGTCATACATGCATCGATCAGGGTTGCCACAGTTAAAAAATGAAATTCTCTGACAATTCCCTGATTTCCCTGACACATTTAAGTGAAATGCCACGACAATTGAAGATATGCCAGATTGTAAGAAGACATAATTATAGATATAGATTTTAGGCAAAATTTGTCGTTCAAAATGTCAAACCCATTCTAAAAAGCAAATAAAGGTGACCTGATAATTTTTCCATGACATTTTCCTTAACATTTCCCGGTTTTCTCTGACTTTTCCAAATTCCCTGACATTTCCCGGTATTTGATGAATGTTGCCGCGAGATTCCGCTGAACTTGGGCGGTTCGCGCAATTTTTAGCAACCAATGAAGAGTCGGGATTCAACAGCTATAAGTTTATATGAACTGTCGAAATAATTTGAATGGAAATTTGGATAAAAGAAAGTTGAAATTTACAAAAACCGCGGACTATACAGCAACAGCCACTTTCACCTTCGGCTCCCATTTCGACTTGCGAAGAGCGCTGAAGCCCCAAAATTTTAGGCATCAAAACCTCATCTTTAGGTAAATTGTTAGCTTAGCGCTAGATGAAGCTGGGATACTCCCCATGATGCGCGCAAAACGACGCGATAAAGTGACAAAACGAAAAAGAGGAGATAAACAAAATTGAGAACTGGTGCTCCGGATTACTGCTAATTTGGACGGGTCCGTGGTTTGCTGTGGAGTATTTGCTTAAAGATCTTGAGGATGAGCACGCCTTGGGCTTCGTATGATGAGAGTGTCTGATGTAGTGGAGAGCTCAATGAAAAGAGGCCAAGTTTGCGCTGGGATCACACGCTCTGAAGAACGCCCTTTGCGGCCCGCACAGTGAAACGAGCTATTCAGAGAAGTCGGATATAACCTTTTCACTAAAACAGCAATGTTTTTTTCGCCGCACTTGAAAGTATAAGATCTTCAAGATAATATTACGAGAAAACAAATGGAGCCACTTTTAAACAACTACAGGGTGGTAAGTTTTCTTGGATGTTAAAATACCCTTGTTAATACCTGACTTTTCAGGAATGCTGAACACAAAATTCCTTGAATTTTCTCTGTCTCTTCAATTTTATTTTCCATACGATTTCTTAAATAAATTCTGCGATTTTTGTGCGATTTTAGCCCATAAAAAAGTGTTTGCCTTTGCAGCGTATTCATCTGGCTGAGTCCTTTGCGCTCAGCAGACCTGTTATTTTTTTACTAGAGGAGAAAATTTCAAGGTTCTGCAACGAACTTCCCTGAATTTTTAAAGTTGGCCAAAATTCCCTGATTTTCCAAGGTTTCACTGATTTTTAAAGGTTTTCCTGACTTTTCAAGGTTCTTCCTGACTTACACTGAAAAAGAGAACTAGATTGTTGGATATGGATATTTTCAATTCATTGTGGTAATACTTTAATTTATTCAGGCAGTACTGCAATAAATGAGGTTGGTAACCCGAATGTTACGGTACTACCCCAACTTAAGGTGCGGTGCTACCACAGCTTGAGTTGCGGCACTACTACAATTAATTGGAAATGTCCATATAATCCAACAAATTGGGATTAGTACCACAATTTTAGGGGATAACCCTTGACGCTTTTTTCCGTGTAAAAGAGCTTGTCACCCTACTCTCCCTTTCCTATCAACAAAGATATACGAAGATATAAGTATCAAAGTTTCCTTATCATGTTCGACCTCTCCGGACGGATCATTCCACTGTGCGCCGAAGCCGCGCGAATCCTGAGCGAAACTTGAGAAGTTGCTCTCAACTTCTTTTTTATCGCTCGCCCGAATGCCGAAGAGTGCGGCGCTGCGCGCGCCGTAAGTGCAGTTCCTTGTTTAGTCGAGCCCTCTTGACTCTACACAGATCCCTGGGATCCCTTCGTCTTCAGAGTGTCTGCCTTTGATTCAGTTTTCCACCTGTCTCACAGGGATTAAGCGCATAGGTGTCGGGAGTCGCATTCCTCCGAGAATACCGCCCCTGGGGACCCGGGGAGTGAGGACTGAAGCGCTTAACGTAAGGGAGTCTTATTTCCGTCCGATATTTAACGATCGCCCCTATTTCTATCCTTTTCACAGTCTCACCGCTGGCAAATTTAACTTGACGCTCCGCTCCGAGGGTTCGCAGATAGCGACGATGTCAGCGGGCTGATTGTTGAATTGATCGAAAAGCTATAGACAAAACGATGGACTAAGAGACAGATACAGCGATAGACATAGCGATAGACAAAGTTATGGACAAAACTATAGACACAGCGATTGACAAAGCGATAGACAAAGCTATAGACGAAGTAATATATGACTCGTTTCGCATTGTTTTCTTGCCCCGTCCCATTGTTCGTAAAACAATCTTCTAGACTCCAATTCAGGGGTGCAAAATTTCCGCAATTCCTCGCGGTGTACATTTGTCGGAAATTGTGTGCACTGCGGACGGTAGGTTTGACACCGAGAAATTACGAATGTTCAACAATTAAAGTGCACACCGTGATGTAAGCGCAATGCGTGAAGTATTCACAGGGTCTAGTAAGCGCTAATATGCGGCCCATGGCGACCGCAGTGTTTGGCGTAATGCGTGAAGTATTCACACGACCTTGTAGGGGCTAATATGCGAATCTCGGCAACCGCAGTGTTCGGCGCAATGCGTGAAATGTTCCTACAGTCTTGTAAATGCTGATACNGGGGGGGGGGGGGGGGGGGGGGGGAGAGAAGACTTGCGATCGTAACAGTGAGTAGTTGAGTACACTAGAACCTTTGATTGCAGGACCTGGCGTACGCGTACTCTAAGGAAGAAAATGCCTTCCTGCCATTTCCCGAATACGATCACATATCTTGAAGTACAAATAAGAATAGGCACATGCTATTACGAATCTTGAAACTTTAGATACTTCATCAATGGATTACCTATTTACCATTTCTGAAAAATTAAAAAAAAAAAAAAAAAAAAAAAAAAAAAAAAAAAAAAAAAAAAATAAACAAACAATTCCGGAGTATCAAAGTAGATGTCAATGGGGTTGGTTTCACTACGAAATACAGTTGAAAGAGCGTTGCTGCT